TTATATTAAAAAATGTGATGGCATGGTAACATACAATTTGAATTTGTTCATCTATGTTCTCAACCGAGAATCTTATCGGGATGAGTGACGTCATCAATAACCCATGAAAGAAATGATGTTCAAAAAATAAGTTTTTAAATTCTTTCAAATTATTCAAAGTGAAAAAACTGTCACTTTGGAAAAAATTGATAGAATTATCAATTAAATGTATGATGTTCATTTGGTGGCTATTAGTGGTAGACCATAGACAAATTATGAAAAATCTATCAGGTAGCAATTCAATTATGGAGTCATTGTCTCTATCAAGCTGTCAGGAATATTTTCAAGGAGGAGAATGTGAGGTGTATGAATTGCAGAGTTACAAGATCTCAAATTCTTCATAACATTGTGGCAAAATAAATACTTAAACTTGTTATTTGAATGTCAGATCTTTGCCACTTCACTTCACCTTTATTAAGTACTAACTTTCTGTTACTGTAGAAGTAACTGTGTTCTCTAACACTTAGTTTTGCGTAGATTCAGATATTTCCATTTATTTTATAGAAAATTAAGAGTATGTCTTGATGATCGTACTCGCGATGGATTTGAAAACCTTTTGTACAGACCTAGGGTTAACAGATTTTTTTACAATATTGAGGAGATTTTATCATATCTTGTTCTAACTTTTGAACTTATTGTATGTCTTGGGGATTAATATTATTAATCCCCAACGTATCTAGGACAATCTTGGAATGTCTTGGACAATGTAAAATTTTTCCTCTATACTTAATTTTTGTTGTTAAGCAACTTGCGAACGTGGGGTTGAGTTGGGTTAAGGGTTGACTTGCTATTTTATTACTAAAAGATGTTCTGCTGAGGTGTCACCTCTCCTAATTAGAGATTCAAAATAATGGTGAGTTAGCATATCAATTATTGATAAAGAGATTTGACTTTTCTTCACATAAGGTGGTATCACCATATTTGCCAACACCATTTTTTTTAGTTCATTTCACATCTATTGATATTTTTGTATCAATTATGGAATCAAATAATGTAGTCCATCTCACAGTCGCAAGATATGAAAAAGTTAATGATGTTGCCTCGAGGGTATGCTGTATTGTTTCAAGTAAACCTGACCTCGTAGGTATAGCATGAAGCTTTGATAAAAATCGAAGTTTAGCTTTTTAGTAATTATAATTCCAAATTATGTATGACACTATATATATGTAACTTTACTTTTTCCGCAAATGCGAAATTTATGATATTCTACTTTGCAGTTATTCAAAATATAGATGTATAAGCTAACTAATACATTTTTCTTTCCAATTAAAAACATTCTTTAAATCATGTTCAATTCTTATTGTTGCTCTTCTGTCATTGACATACATGCCAACCTCAGAAAGTGACCCTGCAGTCTATTTAAAATAATATACAATTAATGAAGTTAACATTTCTGACACAAACTTTTATTGGAGAGAAAACTGTTTATATGGTGTTGAAAATGTACAAGAAACATGTCCACAACATGCATTTTGTGATTTATTTATTTATTTTGAATCAGTTGTGATGGTGTTGTAGTGTTAAAGTGTATTTCACTTCAGTGTGAAAGACCATTAAATATCATATCACAGGCATAATTTGTCATAGGTTTTAGTCATACAACATAACCTCAATTGACATAATCATTGAAAATATTATACAACCTAATCATTAAACACAACTTCAAACCTCAGTCTTTAAGTTTTTTACTTTTTTTTATTCCTAAGAGTTTTATTTTAATATTTGGCTAGACCATGTAAAAGTCTATTTGAGGTTATGTTCAGTTTCATATACAGCCTATTTGTACAAGAGTGTACAAGACTTCTTCAGATGGTTTTGTGACCTTAAACTGTGATTTAAGGTTTAACGGCAAAATTTCAAATCTGCAAATTGATTCAAACTTAAAGAAGCAAAATGACGATTATTGCTTAATACGAAAATGAGCATGAGTGTTACATAACACCCACTCAGACAGCAATCCAGTTCTATGCTGCACCATATCTCAATCTTTGCTATTAACACAGTTGTAATGCATTATTGGAGTTCATTTAATATTGTCGGTATTGGTGATACATATGTATACCATAACATTAGTGCACATTGACAAATCACATACTGTAAGATCAGGACACCTATAAAACCTAACATACGTACCTCTGATAACCTCAAAAATCTGTTTCAGATTCGCTTCGGAAGTTAAATTGTACTCGAACAAGCAGAGGTTATTGCATCACCTGGACATGTAAAATAAAATCGCAAGCGTATCATTTAAATTTGTACATTTTCCCTTTTTAGTATCATGATGAATTATGTAATCGGCAACTCTCAACGTAATTTACAAAATTATACATTTTGACAGCTGTCATAATCATAATGTCAATCTAGTAACTAACACATTTTACTTATTTTTAATTATTTCTGATATTTTTGAACAATATTATTTCCTAAAACATCCTAGATTTTCTAACAAATTCCTTCAGTTTATTAAATTACATTGATTTTTTATTTTAAGGAATTTCCAATAACAGACTAACTTCATGACGTCCCCTGGTAATGACGTCTGACAGCTGTCAAGATAATATAAAAGAAAATATGCAATAAAACCAAATAAATCTGTTTTGTAAATTTTTTCGTTAATATTAATATAAAAAAATCAAAGTAATAAAATATTTTACGGTAAAAAGTAAGTTGGGATAAAAACACATTTTGAAACGGTTTGGAGAATCTTGGGTCGTAAACCAGAACCAATCCATCTTATAAATAAACATGGTTCTTAAGCAACCTGGCAATGGAATCTCAACCGACATACACACACTCTCCCGACAGCTGACTCCTGATTAGTTTTACTTCCGTATCGGGATGTTAACGAACCATTACATTACATAGAAGATTCACGAAAAGGTGCAAAGGATTATAAAATAAACATCTGGTGGTGTATCGAATAAAAATACAATATAAAAAATTTATTTTTATTTCTTTGTTCAATTTTTCGAGGATATAATTATTACAACCTATAATTTTTTTGTTAAAGAATTCGGATGAATCATTAATTTAAAGATTACATGGTTTATAACTTACTGTTTGAGTCATAGATCTATTATCATATATATTTCATGAAAAATATTATAGTGTAATGTACCGAATATTATAATAGTTTAAATATGATCTAGTAATAGTTCAATATGATGATATAGATATTATGATATTTGGAAACAAAATGTATAAGGTCCTCAAAGTTTAAACATATCCAATTCCTGATATTCATCCTTGACAGTTTCCTTCTACCAAGTCCATGTTTTCTCTTTATGTTTCCCTGAATTATTAGTTGCAACAATTGGTATTTTTCATTTCTCAAGACATGTCCAAGGTAAGCTGTCTTTCAAGACTTCGTTTTCACTATGAGAAGTAGCTCCCTATCCTTGTTCAACCTTCTCAGCACTTCCTCGTTGCAAGTCCACATTTCAAATCCTTCTATACGATTCATACTGACATTCTTCAGAGTCCAAGTTTCCACTCCGAATAGCAGAGTTGACCATGCATAACACTTTGTAAGTCACAGTTTGTAACAGTGTAATAAAATTTTGCCTCGCTTTCTCCACTCTACATCTTACTTTAATATCATTGTCAAGTCTCAAATAGCCCTGTTCAACCTCACTCCGTTCATTATCACAGGTATGGGGACGTTTGAGTTGCGGGATATTACCATTACTTTATTTTATGACCATAGTAGACAGTACCTGCCACTAAATTATTAATTTCCGAGTCTATAACAGGCTATAAGTGATATTGTTGAAGGTTGTACAGCAACAGATGTAAGGAAGAAAATCAATGGATTAAGCTAAGGACAAAGGACTAAAATAAGATTCACCAGCTGCTAAGAATCTATGTGTTATGATAGGGCATAAAAATATGATAATGTAATACCAGCCATAATATTTTCCATATTCATCACGATTCTTTTTTTTTTATTTTTTTTTTTGAAAAAGAGTGTTAATTCCAATTATTTCGAACATCCCCAGTATATTTTTTGGTGGGTACAGTATCAAATCCAAGGGACACAGACGTGCGTGTTCACTGGATTGGACAAATATGTACAAGGCAACGGTGGCAAAAAATAAATTAAGAGACCGGCACACGAAAATCAAAAAAAAAATTAAAAAAAAACGCAAACAGGGGGTAAGTTACCCCTCAGCAGTTTCACCACGCCCTTATTGCAATGGCCACCGTTTTACTACCAATGAAACATCCCTGATCCCTACCACCGAAAGGTTCGAAATAGGGGAAGTTGTGTTCGAGGGTGAGTCTTCGTTTGAAGGGGGTAGAAAGTGAAACTAAGTAGATGATAGGGAAAGTGAGCGGATTCTGGTGGTGCACCGACCCTTTACCTCCCCTCTCTGTCTCTCTTTCCAAGTTGAGAACAACCCCTAAAGGGGAGCTTTATGCTATGCCCCAGGACAACGATCAATAATTTTGACGTTTGTACGGAGAGTTTCAAAACAAAGAAATCTAAACTAAAATTAGTATTCAAAAATAATATTAATCATTTACAGATTTATTTAAAATTTTTCAATCAATTTCATCCTCGACATCAAAGCTATTTGATTAAATACATATTTTTTCTAAATAATTAAAATACCCGCATAATTTAAGATTACTTTTATCTCAAATGGTTTTAATTAAATCTCAGAGACCGAATACATAATGCTTAAATACACGCAACGAAAAAAAAAAACAACACCAACAAGAGTTGTTTTTTTTTTCTTCTTTCTTTTTATTGAAGGAATCCAATTCCAGAGTATTGTGATGATGAAGAGGGGTTCGCGGCGTTTCTCTGTAATTCGTCCAAGGTCAGGTCAAGGCGTGCAGCAACAACCCAAGAAAAACACGAGGGCCACTTATACATACTCTCCTCTTATGAAAAGATAGGGACACTCAATTGAATTTTGAGATTTATAAAAGGAACGATTTTTTTAATTAAAATGTTTTGAAAAAAGAAAAAATATTTTTTATTCCATTATCCTATACATACAACAATACTACGAATTGTAAATATAATAAGGTATTATGAAGAAAAAAATAGAACGCATACTTAAAAACTCCAAAACAATAAACACTTTTTTCCGTTCAAAATAATATTAATTGATTATCCTTTTTTATAATATTCTTTTTTAATCGAGTCTGATCACATTTATAAACCCTTAGAAAAAAGTTATATAATAATGAACGTGTTTTCTGTGTTTTATTGGGACGTCAGTGGAGAAATCCCCACTTGACGTGGATCCGTTGTTGGAGCTGGGGTATCCAAATTTTTTAATAATTGTGATAACCAATGATTCGTTGATTTATCTTCTTGTAAACAAGGTGTAAATGTTTGATCCCTTAATTGGTCAGGTAAACATTGACGCAAAGCCTCTCTAGCTCTAAAACAAAATTAATTTTAATAATCAAGCATTTAGATCAGGATTTAGCTCAGGGCCTCCTTGAAGTGGCATGTCAAGAATACGTTTCCATTTTTGAAAGAAAAATTAATTTAACTGGTAAATAAAACATCATTAAACTAAGTATTATGAATAATAGCACTGTACTGCAAACTTTAATTTTTTTTTGTAGATCAGTTGAGTGTTTGTAGTCAATTTTGGGTTGCTGATTTCAAATATGCCTTCCATTTTTTTTGTAACACGCCACGTTCTTCTTTATTTAGGTTTCTCACGGCTGCGAGATTTAGATTTTATAGGAAAATTATAGATGTAATGAATTTGATAGGTGGCACTTTGATATAAGGTGAAGATAGTGGTAGTGTCATGTTTGTATCATTTCCGGTTACATCAGAAATTGTTACTAACATCACTATTTTTAAGAAAATTTTATTTTTCATATAAAAGTTGATTAGAATTACATTATGTAACCAACTGATAAATAAAAATTTAAAATTTTCTTAAAAAATAGTGATGTTAGTAACAATATCCGGTGTAACCAGAAGCGGTACAAACATGACACTACCACTAAAACGTAGATCTCTTCACCTTATATCAAGGTGCCAAATATCAAATTCATTGCATCTACAGTTGCATTATGCAATCCTACGTCCAGCAGCAGTGAGAGACCTGAATAAAAAACGTGACGTGTTACAGAAAAATAGAAGGCATATTTGAAATCAGCAATCCAAAATTAATAAAATACACTCAACTCATTAACTGTACAAAAATCTTGCAGCACAGTGTAGTTATGGCAGCCGACTTCGAAGACGTCGGCCACCCCAAGCTCCACGAACAATACTTATGGCTGAATATAAGAAATAATGTCGGTCGACTACGAAGTCTACTTGGAGATACTTGGAGCACAAGTATTGTTCATGACACTTGGGTTGGGTTGACAGCTGGATATAAGTAATAATCTTGTGATACTTGAGACGTCTTCGAAGTCGGCCGAGATTATTTCTTATAACCAGCTATAAATTAACCCAACCCAAGTACTACAAACAATATTTTTGGCTGATGACTGATGATTGGCCGCCTCAAGAAGCACGAGATCATTTCTTATATCCAGCTGTCAACCCAACCCAACCCATGAACAATACTTATACTCCAAGTAGTCTTCGAAGTCAGCCGAGATTATTTCTTATAACCAGCTACAAATCCAACCCAACCCAAGCATCACAAACAATACTTATGACTGATTACTGGAGATAGTTGGAGATACTTGAGATTATAAGATTATAGATAAGATTATTTCTTATATCCAATCAGCCATAAGTATAGTTTTTGGTACTTCGGGCAGCCGACATCTTCGAAATCGGCAGCCATAAGTATTGTTTGTTATACTTAGGTAGGTTGAGGTTGATAACTGGATATAACAAATAATCTCGGCTGACTTCCAAGACTATTTGTATAGATACTTGGGTTGGGTTGATAGCTGGATACAAAAAATAATCTTGTGATACTTGAGATTATTTCTTATATCCAACTACAAATCCAACTCAACCCAAGTACAACAAACAATACTTATGGCTGGATATAAGAAATAATGTTGGCTGACTTCGAAGACTACTGGAGATGCTTGGAGCGGCCGACGTCTTCGAAGTCGGCCGAGATTGTTTCTTATATCCAACCATCAGCCATAAGTATAGTTTTTGGTACTCCGGATAGCCGACGTCTTTGAAATTTGCCGCCATAAGTATTGTTTGTGATACCTAGGTTGGGTGAGGTTGATAACTGGATATAAGAAATAATCTCGGCCGACTTCGAAGACGTCGGCCGCCCCAAGTGTCACGAACAATATTTATGCTTCAAGTAGTCTTCGAAGTGGGCCGAGATTATTTCTTATAACCAGCTATAAATCCAACCCAACCCAAGTATCACAAACAATACTTATGGCTGGTTATAAGAAATAATCTCGGCCGACTTCGAAGACGAAGTATCACAAGATTATTTCTTATATCCAGTCATCAACCCAACACAACTCAAGTATCAAGAACAATACTTATGCTCCAAGTAGTCTTAAAAATCAGACGAGCTATAAATTTTGTTCGTGATACTGGGATGGGTTTAGTAGCTGGATATGAGAAATAATCTCGGCCGACTTCGAGGACTACTTGGAGATACTTGGAGCGGCCGACGTCTTCGAAATTATTTTTTATATCCAGCCATCAGCCATAAGTATATTATTTCTTACAGAGCGTTCAACAATGACTGTAAAGTGTTTGAATGTGGCGCGCTTGACTTTTAGTAACATTTGACAAACAACGTTGGTGCGGGCTGGTGTTTTCCACGAATTTTTAACAATCAGTGGCGTGGTATGTTTTAATTGCTTTCGAGTTAAAAAGTTTCAACAATTATTATAACAAAATGTAAAGAAATATCAATTGATTTCATATACATTTTTAAATTTTGTTAATAAAGTTACATATTGATAAATTTTAAACATAAATCTCTTAACCTCATACATTTTTAATACCTTCGGAATTTCTCCTATGATACGCCTATGCTTATTAGTTTGCTCATACCAGCCTTAAAAATTAAACGCAAAAGCGGGAAATTCAAACACCTTACAATCATTGTTGAACACTCTGTATAACCAGCTACCAAACCCAACCCAAGTATCACAAATAAAACTTATGGCTGATGTGGAGTTGACCCAGAACATTTCTTATATCAACAGAAATAAAAAATTTTGTAATAATAAAATTAAAGCAAGGAACAAAATATTATTTATAATCCAACGACGCTCAAGAAAAAAAAAGGTGTGAAACCCCGATTTAGATTATTATTTCTAAAATAAAACTAACCTAGGATTATCAGACAATCGCAAATAACACCTCACAACATGTTTTAAAAGTCTTGCCGATGGCTCTTTTGCCAAAGATAAAACCATTTTACCCTAAAAATAAGATTTATCAATAAATTATTCATTTTTAAATGAAAAAAAGTACCAAAATCATTGCAACATGGCTAAAACGGTCATAAGTTTGGCAAATATATGACAAACCACTATCATCTAAAAGTATTTTTTGAAGAATAAATGTGGCTACTGTTTTGCTTAATTCTGATCCAGATTCCATTATGCGTAAACATAAAGGAATTATTTCTGTAGTTAATAAAAATGTAATAACCTCTTGTTCATCAGTCTAAAAAAAATTGCTAAGTTTTAACTGATTAATCAATTTAATACATTACCTTTACTAAAGCTCCAATAACACCCAAACTAGTCAATCTTAAATACTCAAACGGTCTAGTTTTCGATACGGTATGCAAAAAAGGGTATAAAAATAAAGGTACATGTGCCAATAAAAATTGAGATCTTGTTTCCGGGTGAGAAGCAACACATTGTAATAAAGCTAAAGCATTACAGACTCTGTTTGATTGATGGGCGTTTAATGTGGGTGGATTTATGGCAGGGTAGATGTTTATAATTTCCTGTAATAAGGCAGCAATTGTGCCAAAACTATTCCATAACATGGGAGCCAATTCGGGTACAACTTCGCGTTTTTTACTATAACAAAAAACAAATCCTTCAATTCGATTATAACATAAAATGAGTTAAATAATCATTACCTTAATTCTAAAAGGGCATTCTCTCTAGTTTCTGGATTAGATAATTCGAGAATCCACTGGTAAATCTTTTCACGATCAACATTCTGGTTTGCGGGGCTGGGTTGCGCACTCATTTTAAACGTGATAATTTTTAATGAGCTAATTATTTACAATTAGTAACAGATCAAACCATACTTGTTCTGTTTTTATCACAGACCTATCCAGAACGGATTTAGATGATTTGGTGTAAAATGACAGATAACAAGCAGATAACCTCAAAACAAAGTTAAATGACAGTTGTCAAGTGTTGTTCAACCTTTTATTAATAGATGGAGTGCTTAATTATTTTATAACTTTATTTTTTAAATTTAATTTTGAATAATTATTTCTTATTAAAAATTATTTATTAAATAATTATCAATGAAGCAAAATAAATATTTTAGTTATTATTAATTTGATTAAAAATTAAAAAATAAAATAGCGGGAAATTCAAATTAAATATTTGATTTCTTTATTTTTATTCAATATAAAAATGATTTATCACCTAAATTATAACGATTCAAAACTCATCGTGAAAACTACGAGCTGTATCGACCATTTTTGATTTAAGAAACAAATTTGGATGTGCTAAAATCTCATCTATAGATAACATGTGGTCTTGATCTGTGTCTGCTAAAGCTAATAAAGCTTCAGCTTCGTGTTCGCTATGTCTTGGACTTTGCGGGGCGACGTAATGCAACAATTCTCTTCTATCCGCTTTTCCATCACCGTTTAAATCAATGGAGGTACGAAATTCAGCTCTGCGTTGATTTTCATCTTGGCGAATTACCACCATTTCGTCGTTATTTCCTTCAGTTTGAAGTATTGCAAATTCATCCTCTGTTAATAATTCATCACCATCTCGATCGAATTTGTCGTAAAGTTCATCTACAAGTGCTAATTGATTTGTTGCGCTTGATTCTGGGTGTGTAAAGGCTAAAAATTCGTCGACTGTTAAAGAATTTGCGTCTGATTTTGCTGCTTCAAGCCAAGAAGCTTTGTCTTTCATCATTTGTTCTAAAAACAAATTTAATAAATAATTTTGTAATAATTGTTTTATTAATGGAAATACCTTTTGTGGCTCTGGACATTCCTTTGTGGATTTTTTCGTTATGATGTTGAACATATTTTTTGCTAAATCCACGCTTTTTTAAAAAATAAGCGTGATATTCTTTCCAAGTTACCACACCGTTTGGTGGGTCGACGTCAATTTCCATGAAGAGATTAAAGTTATTTCCAACAGCAAAAGATATGTGTTCGACTATTTTTTTTCGAATCCAATTGGCCAATTCTTTTGGATCTAACTTACCACTTCGATCAACATCGGCTTTTTTAAAAACATCCATCAAAATATCATTTTGTTCCTTATTGAAATTTTCGTTATTATTAACGTTCACCAAATACTCGTTTTTGTCACTTAATGATTCATCTCGGTACCTCTCCCCGCCGTCCGTTTTAAAATTACTATTTCTCATTTTGACGATAAACGTTTCTTCTAAACTACGTTTTAAAGTCACATCCATGTCATCTATTTTTATCGTTATACTTGAACGCAATGGAACCGGCAGGAAAACCATCACGCAAAGAAAAACCATGTAACAAAATAACGGCACCGAGTAAGACCATCTTTCAAATATCGTTCGACTTCTACAACTTGATAACATTTGTTATTTTAACTTTTTCGTCACATTTCGGATGAGATTATATATTTTTTTCGGGAGAAAAAATGTGATAAAGAAACCGTTGCGGACTTTTAACTATTTTTTACTTTATGGTGTGATGGATCAATAAAGGAGTTGCGCCGCAAACACCAGAAAGATGGCATTGTGATAACATTGATTCAATTTTAAAAGTTTTTTTTTTGAACAATGGAATGTAAGTTCTTTTTTTCTTCCAATGAGAAATGATTTATGTATTAAGGTAGGAAAGGTATAAGTTATTTTTTAATGATAGCTTAATGGGCATTAAGGTGAGGCAGCATTTAGGTAATTAAATAACTCTCTCTAAATCGTTTCTAAACTCATAATTAACTGAAGTGGCCTACAGTCAACTTTCTTGAATTTTTATATGGCACTCATAAATTGACAAAATTTGTAAAATTGCAAAATTTATGGAAAATTGGGCTTACGCAGTTTGATTGAAAGAAGCTTTTAATTTTTGTGGTGTTTCCTTTCGTTAATAAGTTTCTGGACATACTGAGACAGCTATAGACAAATATATTCTTTTCTTTGAATCAAGATCAGTTACTTATCAAGTTTTATCAAGCCAGTTCATGAGCTATGTAATGTAATGTAATGTTCTAAACGTCCCTTTGCTTGGTCAACGTAACACTCAGAAGCAGATTAATTCTCAGTAAATTTTAGACAATTAGCTTAATCTAGAGATGTGGCTGGAATAATGAATTCCAGCTTTCACATCACCTTGTGGCGGCGTCCATGAAGTTTGTTTGATCTAGGAATACCATCCCTTGTAATTTTCGGCAATCTATTGTCATCCATCCACTCCATGCGCAATGTCTGGTTTGGGACAATCAGACTATATCCTATATGGTTCCTCAGGAACTCCATGTCAGCTGTTCGATTGATTCTTTTAGTTATAGAGCTTTCATGTGTTTGTTTTGCCATATTATATCTCGCAAATACCCCAATATTAAGGCTGCTTTGGTTGTCTGAGCATTGATTTCCGCGCGAATTCGCATTCTTCATTAACCCAACTCATATGTACACGTCGTCTTTTGAAATCCGTTCTATTCCACCATACTCACCAATTTTTCTCCCCAAAGTTACAGTAAATCTTTTTTTCTCTCATAGCAATTGATCATAACTTGATGATAATTAAGGAAATGCTTTATACCCTGCGTCACTTCATCATCTTAGCACTTAATCGGCGGTTAATCAGACCAAGTATGATTAGGTTGCTGCAAATCCTGATGTTATAACATTTATATATCAAATTTCAACGGCTAAATGCAAGGTCCGTTGAGTAAACATACTGTATAAGGTTATCCAAATTCCAAATCCCTATAAAGGCTGTTGTTATTATATGAACGTATCCCCCCGCAAAGGCCTTGCTGTGACGTCACTAGAAGAATTGACATTTCTATGTTTTTATTTATACAATGTATTTCACTTAAGAAGGAAAACACAAAAATATAAAGATATTAAAAAAATTCGAATTGTTTTAAAATTAATAAAAAATAGGTTAAAATTGATAAAAAAATCGAAATAAAATTTTATTATTTTAAGGTTATCCAACTTGACTTGGTTGCCATGGTGATTAAGATCCAAATATTGCAGTTGCTTGTCAAAATTGACGTTTAATTTAAGTTTTTTTTAATGAAAAACACATAATTAATTGGATTTAAAGGTTGTATTTAATTCAAAATGGGTAAATGGATGAAATTATATGCAAGGTAAGTGGATTAAATCAAAAAAAGATATTTTTAGATCAATTAAAATGTACAAGAATTTAGGATTAAATAACAATTAAAACTAGAACTAACGCTAGACCTAGAGCTAGAAAGTTTTAGGTTTAGCCGGGCGTCTTAGAGGAATGTTTATAGCTAACTTGTAGAGAATTAAATTCACTTTCTGACAGGTTAAAAGAATATGGGGTTCCATTTAAAATTTTCGACTTTCTCGACATTTACCATTCATTTTTTATTTTGTACCAACTTTTATCAAAATCAACCTATTTTTCTATTTACAATTAACCGGTATATATAAACTATAGCATTCCATTTAAAATAACGAAGTTATGGTCTACTTCCGGTAGAACCAGTTACATCACATTTTAAATCTGAAGTTAGCTATCATATAATAGACAAATGGACAACCTCATGGTATTCTTTATTAAAAAAAAACCTTTAAAATGAGTTCAAACATGATGCATTTATTTCGAAAAACAACAAAGTTGTAATAAAAAAAATTAAAGTTGGCAATATTGAAATTAGCAACATAATTTTGAAATATTAATACCAACCTTAATTTTTCATTTTTTTATTGTATTTTTGTTTTTGTGATAAATTTTGAGACATTTTATAAAAATTAAGAATTTGTTGAAATGACATTGAAATTTCAAACCGGAAGTTGCTTATATCTCGACTAATATTGGAATTAAACGTATCATGTTTGTACTTATTTTAAAGGATTTTTAATGAAGATTACAAATATGTCAAAATTGAGGTTGACATTTTAAATCTTAAGTTAGTTATCATATAACAGACAAATGGAAACTTCATGGTGTTCTTTTATGATGTATTCTTTATTAAAAAAAACCTTTAAAATGAGTCCAAACATGATTTTGCTAGATATCACTATGTTGTATATTTTTATTGCACTAAAACTGGAACTAACACTAGACCTAAAACTAGAAAAATTCGGGTTTAGCCATACGTCTGAAGACGCACTGCTAAACCCGATACTTTCTAAACAAATCTCTATCAAATGAGCCTAACGAAAGGATGCATTCAACATCAATTTGTTCGAGTTGGATAACCTTATAACGAATACTCAACGGATCTTGGGCTAAATGCTATTTGTAGCGCCATCTAGTATTCAAAAAACCAAGTAAACAAAGAAATCTAATTTAAATCAGAAACTCAAATTTGTGTTTTATTGTAATGGAAAAGCGTTAAAATCAGTTAAAATGTGTGGTGTTAATAGTGATTAAGAATAAATTAACGAAATAACTTTTTAAATTCAATTTCTTATTTATCTTTTTTTAATTAATGTCTACATAAAATTAAAATAAAACAATAAAATTGATGGAAATATATACAATTATCGATTTAGTTCAATTTTTATCTACATAACACAATTTTCTTTGACTTTTCTCCGATAAAAATAATCATCGTAAATTTAATGTGATGTACTTTGATTTATAATTTACAATGTTACAACTATCATATCAAATGATAATGGAACATAGAGTGTTATTCATAAGATTCGAAATGATTGTGATTACTTTTATTTAATAATAAACGAATGTTATAAACTAGAATTTATTAAATATCCTAAAAATTCCAATGAGGTTATCAAACATATGTTTTTTTCATAACAATCATTTCAGATCTTATAAAAATTATACAAAATAAAACTGTGTGGTAAATATAATTCGATCGATCTAGTCTAGGTACAAAAATAAATAAATTATACTTAAATTCTATCAATATTATAATGTATATAATAATAAAGCTTCCATGATCGAGATACACACTAAGAATAAATTCTTTACAATAACCTACTCAAAAATTCTTGTTCATGTATGTATAAATTAAAAAGATTTAGTTTATAAAAATAACATAAAAAAATTGTAGAATTAATCAACATATACAATAAGAAAAAGAAACATGTAATTTAGCATAAAAATGAGGTCAAATTTCTAACATTTTTTCATTCTAGGAGATCACTTGGAGATGACTATTTTATTCGAGATTTTCATAATTTTTCCAACACTAAAATTACACTTTCACTCTTAATTAATCCTTTAATCCCATTCTTCCTATTTATTCTAACCGTGAACAATCTTGCAGTCTATCGTTTCGAATTTACACGTCGTTTAGCCCTTTGCCGTTTAGAAATCCCTCGCCTTGTCCCACTATTCGGATTATTCAACCACGGTAAACTAAACTCACTATAAAATAAATAATTTAATTAATTCTAGTAGTTTTTAATTGAAAAATTATTTACCTGTATTGAAATTTAGTTAAAGGTGAACCGAAAGCGCTCACTGGGAGCATATCACATACTTCAATATATTTAATATCATCGAGGGTTGGTAATAAAGTTTCCAATGGTGTTGTATCTTCGTTTCTTGAACCAGATCCGATTTTTTCTTGCCGCAGTTTTAATTTTTCAATCACTCTTTGTTCGCGTATCCTTTGTACATCCCATCGTTTTCGTCTCCTTTCATCGTATTCTAACCTCGCGTGTCTTTTATTAAAAGCGTCGTCTTCTAAATTTTCCGTACCTTCCATCGTATAACAACTCGTGTACGATTTTATTCGCCATCGAGGGACTTCTAAGTTACTCGCGTTTGAATTTGCGGGTAAATCGTTTGTTAAATCCAATGGGTTTGTAATACTATAATTTGTTTCGCCTGCGTGGGTGACGTATTGGTCGTTACATGACATTATATGATCAGGATCGAAAGAATCTAAAAGAAAATTAAACGAATTTCAAAAACTAGAAGAAACAGAATTTAACACTGGAGGAAAGGTGGAGAATTTTTAAAGAGATAATGAGAAATAAAGCTATGGAGGTGTGTGGAATGAGAATATATGATAATCAGACAAAGAGAACACACTGGTTGAATGAAGAGGTACGACAGGCAATCAAGAAGAAGAAGAAATTAGGTTTTGCTTATTCTGAAAACAAAGAGCAACGAAAAGAACGAGCTTGTCTTGCAACTTTAAATGCACCTAGTACTTCAGGCACATCAAGGCCCCCAAGCCATCAATTATGTTTAGCACATGGCTTACAGCTGGCAATAATAGATGTGATATACAAAAAGCCAAAAGGACAACAAAGTATATTAGAGCAAAACATTAAAGAAACTTATATTACGTTTAATATCAAAAGATGAACAAAATATGTTTGAAAACGATGAAGATGACTGTGTAATTGTGGAGCCTCAACGGCAGGAAATTAATTAGACACTATAAGAAAAACAGAAAAACAGCCACCTGTCCAGTTAACTAAGAATGCACTCTTCAATCCAAGAAATTGATATATTCAATAATGGCGCCAGCATGTGTAAAAATCTTCAATTCGCTTTTGAATGTTTGAAAACTTTATTAAACACAAACTTTAGATCTCGTTTAGGAGATAAAACAATAGACAAATTGCTTGTTCTGTGACATTTCTTTCAAAATAGTTCTATGGATGGTAAATTTTTTATAATGCTTTGTATTATGGTTAGAATAAACTGTAACGTAAGAACCACCTTGAATGTTTTTTATTTATAATTACATATGTAGCTCATAAAACCTGGGGATTACCAGGGATAGGGAATTCTGATCCCGAAATCCCGGGATTATAAAAACCCCTCTTGATTGCAACCCCTAGAAGAAATATATAAGAACGAATTCGGAAGAGGATAGAGCAAAGTATAGAACGAACAGAGATGTAGTTAAGAATATGGTAAGGGAGGCGAAAAAGAAAATTTGGTGAAACAAATTTAAGTGAAACATACATATCAAATGACAAGAAATTCTGGAATCAAATAAGAAAACTGAAGGGAGATCAAAGGAAACAAATAAATCCGTCAAAGATAAAAACAACGAGATAAATACAACTACAAGGGAAATTCTGGACATATGGGCAGTTTTTTATGCAGAAAAGTTCAAGAATGGAAAACTGATAAGGGAAGACACTACAGACATAGCAACTGAAGAGATAACAATGGAAGAATTAGGAGAGGCAATGATGAAGATAAAAACAGAAAAGGCTTGTGGCAAAGATAAGATAGATCCAGTGATGAGAAAATATTTGGGAATAAACGGGAAGGAGTGCCTTCTAAGTACATATAAAACCGCATGGGAGTTGGAAACAATCCCGAAAGATTGGGAAGATAAATCAACTTACCAATACATAAAAAAGGAAGCTACTCAAACTGTGGAAATTACAACCTATCATCTACAAGTTACAAATTATACACAAAGATAATAGAAAAAAGGTTAAGAAGAGTAGTGAAAAATAAACAAAAAGATGAACAAGCAACATACAGAGCAAGCAAACAAACGAACCATAGTATTATATGGAAGTATCTACAACAACTAATGGTACCACAAAAACTAACAAAAATAATTGAAAACCTGTACAAGAAAGTCAAGGGTATAGTACAAATGAAGGGAAAAACTTTTGAAATGAGCAAGGGAACAAAACAAGGCAATAACCCTAGGCCCCTTGTTATTTATAATATTAATGGACAGAGTGATAAAAGATACAAGAACAAGGTATAGGAATGTTTATAGATTATTTGAATGCCGAAAAAAGGTAATTCAATTTTTGACCTTCCTGTATAAGATACTGTTATACAGCAAATGACAATCAATTTTTTATAGTTAATAACATTTGAAGAGTGATTGTGCCAATTTAGAGCTTTTTTGAATGAACGTTTACTGAGATATGGAGTGTTAAAAAGCATGGTGAAATTTACCAAAAAAAAAAACTTAATATCAAAATAACTCGAAAACAAAAAATGCTGTACCAGTAACTTTTATCAAAGTCAACATATTTTTTCGTATATAATTAAAAGGTGTAATAAAAACTATAGCATTCTATTTAAAATAACGAAGTTGTGGTCTACTTCCGGTAGACCGGAAGTGGGAACCATCTTGAAAATACTTTAGGTCAAAAGATTGGTATGAACCTCCAATATAAACTAAACTCCAGAAACGTACATACAATAGAAAAAAAAAAAACGGGTGTTAACTTTTTGGCAGACACTGTATTCGATTCAAACTTTGAGATTTTTTTTAAGCCTTAACTGAAAAGCGTGTCTCGGGGGTTTTACGGATTCCTGTCCTTTAGTGGATGGGGAATAAGGCTGTGAAATAAAATATTAAGATTTTGATGTTCCTTTGAAAATTTTGACAATTAATTATACTTGCATCATAAAATTTAGTAGGTTGATATAATAACAAAAAATGTGATTATAAGTTTTGTTATGGAGTTATTAGTACCAAAGCTATTTATTTACATTATATTTTTACATATTATTTTTTTTTTAATATTTTTTCGGGGAAAATATGGCTAATTTCTCACTGGTTAGTTCGTTTTTTTTTCTATAATACCTGTCAAATTGTTGTAAAGTTGGCAAAATTAACAGAGGGGTTTGTTTTATCATGTTTTCAAATAAATATGTCACACTGACGTTTGTTTGAACTTTTGTTATTCAAAAAGTCAAATGTAATAAAATTAAACTAAAATGAATCATGCATAAAAAATGTTTTGGGGTGTTTATTTGCCATTTGTTTACCTAGAAAAGGTGTTTTGTTCTATTTCATTAGTTTATAGCACGTTTTTACAATAAATATGTACTTCGTTAAAATTGTATTTATCTAAAAATTTATTAGTATTTTAACCTCAACTATTTAGTTACTGAAAATGTAAAATGCTAAAAATCAAGAAAACAACATACATTTTATAAGGGTCCTAAGTAATACCAACAGAAACCCTAAATAATTTACCTTCACAAGTAATACTTTACATGTAAAATCATGATAATAAATAAAAAGGAAATAAGAAATAACCCAAAAGATATATTTATTAAGGAAGAATAGATAGAACAAGTATCATCATATGAGTACTTGGGCAGTATAATATCATAAGATGGAAGGATAGATTTAGGCATAAATGCAAGAATCAGGAAAACAAACAATGTATATCATACTCTAAACAGAACAATTTTTGGGAAGAAGGAGATAGATAAGATTGAAGATGTACAACTCGGTGGAAGTCCCAATATTAATATATGCCAGTGTGGATGAAGAAATAAGACTGGGAGTAGATCAAAATAGCCCACATAATTAGAATGGAACATAACACAATAATAAAAAAGGTATTTGAAGCAAAGGATAAGAAAAAGAGGGGAAGACCTAAGAAAGATTAGGTCAAGAAAAGAATGGCAGAAAGACTCTAGCAGATATAAAGGAATTAGCCAGGAACTGAAGTGGATGGAGGAATAGGAAAAGATTTATCCGACGCCATCAGGCATAAGGATTAGGAGAACAAGATAATTAATTTATTAATAATTTACCTTTCCGTCGTTTTCTTGATCTCCTATAATTTTTTTTATCATCCGATACTGTATCATTAGAAAATACAGAGGAGTTACTACATAACCTTTTCCTCCTTATACTCATCTTTAAATTCTTCATTGAATTGTTTTCTATTGAATTATGGACCGTGTAACTACCTTCGTATTTAGCTAAGGTGTCCAAATCGTTCATATGATCCGGACTTTTTATGATTTCTTTGTTTTTAATTGATTCTTCAGATTCGGTTATAATGTTTAATTTATTTTCTTCTTCAATGTGATTTGTTATGGTAAAATTGAGTTTTTTTTCTTCATCACCCTCGAAATGAAAGGCAGAACTTATGCCTTCCTCAATAGCCTTACTATCTACCTCGTCGATTGTTGTCAAATCTTGGGTCATATCGTTATTTAAAGTTTCGGAAATAATCTCTGTATCTTTATGGTTATTAATTACCTGATTGTTTTGTACAGAAATATCTTTTTCAATAAACAACAATCGTTCTTTAAGCTAAAAAATTTTATTTTTAATTTATATCTTTATAATTCAATATTTTTCGATATACCTTTTCATTTTCTTGTTTCAAAATAAATATAGTTTTGTCTTTATTTAAAATTTCATCGTTTTGCTGTTGAATTAAGTCCAAATGAATAACCAACCAGTCCTTTAAAAATTTAACTTCGTTATCCTCGGAACTTTGACAATTATCCTCAGTTGATTCAATACCGTTAATAACACTATTAGAAGAAGCATACATATGATCATAAGAAAGTGTTAAATCATCAATATCAACGCCCTCGTTCAATGGGTGAAAGTAATTATCGTTTTTCCCTGTGTTTGATAATTTTGCGATGCGATTTTGATCGGGAAAATTATTGGACATCTTCGCACAAACTCCAACTAAGTCTCAAGCATCGTAATGCTTGGCATTTATCACGGTTTTTCTTAACGCCGAAAACTCCACTCTCGTTTTGTTTATGCACGATACCCCAAGTGATTTTTTGTTGTAAATCTACATTTGTTATAACCCTTTTAAATATACGTCTCGATTAAAATACTTTTTACGGTTAGTTTAGTTAATTTTCGCGTACTTTTAGCTGTAAACGCCGTCGAAACCGTTGCATATTAAACAACATAACAAAACGTCAATTTACGATTTTTCTAGGTTATGTTATATCGGTCGAATGAAATAACAACACCAACTATTTTTGGCTGATTACAATGAGTTTTTGAGAACACCAAAAGGCGTTAGATGCTAGATTTACCGTTGATGGGCGAAGACATCGTTTAGATCTAGATGAATTTTGGTTTAACCAGCAAAATTTCGGGTAAATATCTCGAATTCAACGCGCTATTATTTTACTAATTACTTCCGGGATGACATGGCGCCAAATTTAAATTAGTCAACAACGTGAAATTAATCGCAAATCAAACGAAACAAATTATTGTTCCGAACCTTTTTTTCGATGTTTATAAGTTTAAATATTGTTAATAATTAATAGTTTGTATAATTGATATGAAGTAATGATCGATTTGAAATTTTTATGTTTCATTGCGCAAAAGCACGTGTATAAAACTCATACAGCGGTTGTTTAAAAACGTCAGTCGAGTTCTTGAATCCGGCTCGTGAAGTGCGGGTTTGTTTTTACTTTTAGTATCTCTGATAAATACTCCGCTCATCTTTGAGTACTTATATAATGGTACGATGTTCGTTTAACTCTCATTTACTTGACAATTATTATTATTCAATGTGTCATTATTTACTTAACCTCAACTTTTTTTTTGCTTAAGATAAAACGCACACAAAAATTCTATTAATATTTTTAAGCCGATGTTGATTGATAAGTGAAAATTTAGAAAATTTGCTCTGTAATGATTAAATAATTTTGGAGTGACTTTTAAAATTTAAAACAAATAAACTTGTTGAAATAACTGTTTCAATTATTAATTATATTTATTTTTTGTTTTGTCTTTTTAGAAAACTACAATCTCATAAAGCTATCTATTAATTTATGTTAAAAATCTTTAATAAAGACTTAATTGGTACTTAAGTCGCACTTAATTAGGAATTAAAAGAGATGGGTACAGGAATTTTTGGTGCTTGGGACTATGTAGTCTTAATTTTAGTTCTAATGATCTCTTCGGCCATTGGTTTATATTATAGATTAACAGGTGGGAAGCAAAAGACTGTACAGGTAAGATTTAAAATTTATTAATACCTTTTTCTTCATTAATTTATTGAGAGTTAAGTTGTCAATTTTTAATTTTTTGAGTTTGCGCGCCATTTCTATACGATGCCGAAAAGCAACTGCGCATGCGCATAACAAAAATATTTTAAATTATTATAAAAGCAAATTTATTTAATATTTTAGAAAGTTAATAATAAAAATATTATTAATATCAACAAAAAAATTATCCAATTTAAAGTTTTGTATTAAGTTTTACCTTGAATAATAATTATTTTGAGTATGCGCGCCATCTCTATAGGATGCTAAAAAGCAACTGCGTATGCGCGTAACATAAGAATGTTTTTATAATTTATTATAAAAGCAAATTTATTTAATATTTTAGAAAGTTAATAATAAAAATATTATTAATATCAACAAAAAAATTATCCAATTTAAAGGTTTGTATTAAGTTTTAACTTGAATAATAATTGTTTTGAGTTTGCGCGCCATCTATATACGATGCTAAAAAGAAACTGCGCACGCGCATAACCTACAAATATTTTAAGAATTTTGATATTAAAAATGCAAAAAGAAGATTCATAGAAGAAGAAAGAAAGAATACTTGGGAAAAGAAATGCAAAGTCTGAAAATTGTATCAGAAAATTAATAAAGATAGGAAGGATTTCCTACCATGGACAAACTTGTCGTAATAAAGCAGGGAATATAATAAGTAGAAGGGAAGAGATATTGGAAAGGTGGACAGATAATTTTGAGGAAAAATTAAATTTGGGTATCCAACCGGAAGAGGAGGAAGTGTGGCTGGATGAGTCAGATCAAAGAGGAAAGAAAGTACCTACGCATGAAGAAATCAAAAACGGTGTAAAAAGACTATTATAAAGCTTCTGGTATTGATAATATCCCGGCGGAAGCTTTTCAAGGAAGGTGGGGACTCTTTATGTAGTTGCATATCCCCATTAGTTAAGGAAATATGGGCAGAAATAGAGATGCCAAAGAATTGAAAGCTTATAAAACACTAGCTTTGGTTCTGTATGAACCCCTAAAACATACAGACGATATTATAGGGAATTACCAGTGTGATTCTGCAGTAATAAATCGTCAATTAACCAAATATTCTTACTGATACAGATGTGTTCATAGACTTAAAAAGCGCATACGATACGGTAAACAGAAATGCATTGTACAGGGCAATGGAAGAGTTTGGAATTTCCCCGCACCTAACATCACCTAATATAGCTAACATTGTCCCAAGTAGAATGCTCATTCAGAACATATACGGGGTTGCGACAAGGAGATCCTTTATCAACCCTTTTATATAACATAGTGCTACAAAAAGCTATAAGACAAGCAGGTATTAATAGAAGAGGGACAATTATAAATAAGAGTGTACAAATACTGAAATATGCCGATGATGTGGACATCATAGGTAGATCTAAGAGAGATATGGTAGAGGCTTTCATAGCATTTACGAATGCAGCAAAGGAACTGGGTCTAAATGTAAATGTTGAGAAAACTAAGTATATGCAAACTTGAAAAAGAATGGAGTGAAGACTAAAACAAGATTTAAAAATTGATGGCTATCATATTGAGTGTGTTGATAGTTTTGTATACCTGGTGTCATTAGTACAAGCAAAAATGACACAAGTCAGAAATAAAAAGAAGAATATATCTGGGCAATAAGACCTATTTTGGGCTGCGTAAACACTTGAAATCAAACATATTAACCAAGAAAATCTAATGCAAAATTTGTTATACACTCATTAGACCAGTGATAATGCATGATTCGAAGACCATGCTTTGCTGGGATTGCTGGAAACGTTTAAACGGAAGATACTTAGACACATATCCAAGAACAGAGACAGTGGTGCAGACTGTTTAACCATGAACTGTATGAAGAATCACAATGTGCTATCCATCCATGTAATGTGGAACGGATAAAGGAGGTGGCACCAAGAAACAAATAGTTAGACAAACACTGGTAGGACAGAGATTGAGAGGAAGGCCAAAGACGAGATATAATAAGAGAGGTAGAGGGGTATGTGAGGACACTCAAAGTGAGAAATTGGTGAGTGGTGGCGCGTAATAGGGAGGAATGGAAGAAAATCCTTAAGCAGTTCAAGACGTCAAGATGGTGAAAAGCAAATTTATTTATTATTTTAGAAAGTTAATAACAAAATATTATTAATATCCTTAAAAAAATTATTCAATTTAAATTTTAGTATTAAATGTTACCTTGAATAATAAAATAAAAAAATAATACGCAAGAAATACGAGGTCATCGATCTTATTACAAGTTATTACATATTGAACATAAACTTCAAACGATTAAATTTGCGTAGTAAGATTACAACACGTTTCAAAATTGTACATTTTTTAAAATGAATCGCGTCGAGACCTTGTAATCAGCTTTTATTAAAATATTTCAATGTTAGTCTTTAACATCGCTTGATTGGCAAAATTGAACGATTTTAATTGGTTTTAAATGCGAAATGGAGAGATTTTTCAACCGTTTAGTTCATATTGTTGATGTTTCCACTTAAAACCTTATAAAAAGTAAGAAGCAAAAAATACACTTACAACAATTATATGTGATACCAACGGTATATTTATTTATCATTAAATTCAATGGCACTGTATGTAACGGTAGAATTTAGTATGGATTTCAACCATTAAAAAAATCTCACTCAACAGAACCAAATCGCCTTTCGGTATTTTGGAAAGTGTTGCATAACATTGCAGAATTGTGGTTTTTCTGTATTTCTTGTTTAATCTTGCTCCCATCATGCGTTCAGAGATAGATTTCCATTCTATCAGGGAATTCTTAAACTTTCTACTGAGGATAAGTGCTACACCAAGTACATGGTCATCCTCATCATTTAGCATGCTAAAGTGCAAGATCCACGTTCCACCTCATTTTGCTAGCTTCCAGGAGTTCAACATTGTATCGACGATTGTGTTTCATTTCGTTCAAAAATACAAAGTCAGCATATTCCATATTCCTCCACTCGTAGTCAATTTTGCTTGCCAAGGTTCGTTCCCGAAATCCGTCTGGTTCTATTTCTTAACGTATTGCAGATAACTTTTTTTATTCAGGAAGTGTAATATATTGGATTTTAGAACCCCAGACCAGTAGAAAAGTTGCTGCCTTTGCCTCACCAATTCTTTAGGCTGTTTTGCGAGGATAGTTGGTTAATCTGTGACTATCTCTTTACGTCAAAATGTAACTTATAAACATGATCGGAAGTTGCACTACTGGATATTCTGGACCCTCCAATAAGAGTTACAAAGAATTGTATCAAAGGTGTACTTTTGATGAATGATGCGACCCATCACTTGTTTTTGTGTTACAAACTAACGCTCCTCTGACATAATTTAGATGTTCCAGAACGATATTCAAGTTTATTTCCGACTTTTTGTATTTATATCAAATTCCATACATAATCAAACGGAGTCAACTGAAATATTGGACATAACAGTGTCTGGATACAACTTAAAGTAATAAATATGGCTACCAAAAACGTTCCAAAGAAGAACTAAACTGAACGTTTTCAACGATTGTATTAAATCAGTTCTGCTTTATCGATGCGAAATTTGAGTTCTTAGTGAAGACATAAAGACCAAGCTGCTAATGCCTGCGGTACATACTATAAATATTTTGGCCACGAGTTATTTCAGATGACGATTTATGGGAAATAACTCGTGGTCGATTGGGCACGCATTAAGAAATGACATAAATAGCCTCATTTATCATCATTTCGTAAAAATTATATTTTAAAATTTTTTTGACATTGACAGCACATTGACATTTAATCCAATTAAAACAAAGTCTCTTAGTAAACAACAAACTTTTATCTACATATGTATAAACCACATAAAATAATACTTAATTAGGTTATGATTGTTGTCTTTTTATTTTTAAATTAACTTTAAATTGATAAGAAGAATTCTTTCATAACAAGAATTCTTAATAATAACATTTTTTTGTAGGAATACCTCTTAGCAGATAGGGACATGTCCATAACACCAGTAGCATTTTCTCTAATGGCCTCTTTCATGTCAGCAATAACATTATTAGGAGTATCCAGTGAAAATTACCATTTCGGTATACAATTCGTAATCATCAATCTTTCCTATATCATGTTTACAGCAATCGCAGCATATTTATATTTACCAGTTTTTTTTAAATTACAGGCAACAAGTGCTTATGAGGTAAAAAAATAATCACAAAAAATTTTGCTTTAAATTTAATCACTTTTATTAATTTAGTACTTAGAAAGAAGATATGGCAAAGCAGCACGCCTCGCGGCTTCTTGTTGTTACAGCCTCCAAATGATTCTTTATATGAGCATAGTTCTTTACGCACCCGCTTTAACACTCGAAGCTTTAACGGGAATTACACGACATACAGCAATTTTATCCGTCGGTAATACAACAAAAATAATTTGAATATTCATGAACGATTGTGTTAACAATAAAAGATATTTTCCGTCTCTGGTATTTCAGGTTTGGTTTGTACGTTTTATTCAACGATTGGTGGAATGAAAGCGGTTTTAATGACGGATGTGTTTCAATCTCTATTAATGTTTGCCGCTGTTTTTAGCGTTATCATTTGTGCGGTTATTCAAAAAGGAAGTTTTGCGGAAATTTGGAGGATAGCTGAAAAAGGGGGAAGAACTACTTTGTTAAAGTAAATATTAAAAATTATAAGTATAATAAAACCTCGATGTGTTAGTTCTAACACCAAAACTAACCCTAGACATAGAACTAGAAACATTCGGGTTTAGCCATACATCTCTTAAGACTGCTAAACCTGAATGTTTCTAATTCTAGATCTAGTGTTAGTTCTAATGCTAGTAAACACTCCCTTCTCAGTATTAATCCATTATATCGAGATTTTACTCTATTAGAAAATATAAACTAAATTTTGTAAATTTTATATCTAGAAGATTTATTATTTTTGTTATCTCATAGTTTTTTTTTGTATAATTAAAAATGATTTAGTTTTGATCCAGATCCAACGGTACGTCACAGTTGGTTTACACTTATTATTGGAGGTGGAGTAACTTTTCTATCATTGTACGGCGTTAATCAAACCCAAGTACAACGATATCTGACGATTAGAAGCTTGAAAAACGCACGAAAAGCGCTTTGGTTAAATTTGCCGATTTTAAGCTTATTAAGTCTTAGCACTTCGTTCGCTGGATTATCAATTTATTCGAAATATTATAATTGCGATCCTGTTTTGGCAAATAATATCAGACAGGATGATCAAGTAAATAAATAAACAAATTATTAATAACTTAATAATTAACTTAATTTGTGGTAATTTTCCAGTTAATGCCGTATTTCGTTGTTGATTCAATGGGACACATTCCGGGTCTTTCTGGAATTTTTGTAGCTGGTATATTTAGCGCATCTCTTTCTTCATTATCAGCGGGATTAAATAGTATGGCTGCAGTTACAATGGAAGATTATTGGAAGGTATTTTAATCATTATTTAATCAACAAAAAATTTATTTAAAATTTTGTAGCCCGTTTATAAATCGGTAAAAGGACGGGATTTCCCTGAAAAAGCTTGCACATTTTTAACAAAGTGTTTAGCGTTATTTTATGGTATCTCCTGCGTTGCTATCGCTTTTTTAGCACAATACTTAGGGGGTGTTTTACAAGCATCTTTAACAATTTTCGGAGTCGTTGGTGGTCCTTTATTGGGATTATTCACATTGGGAATGTTTACAACAATACCAAATCAAAGGGGGGCTTTAACTGGTTTATTTGTCGGTTTATCTTTAGCACTTTGGATGGCTTTTGGCGGCCCAAAACCTCCACCTCCAAAATTACCAGTTTCAACAAGTGGATGTGAAGATGGTGTTTTAAGAAATATTACAACTTCAACATCAATACATAATAATAATGATTATTTTTGGTTATATCGAGTATCGTATCTTTATAATGGCGTGTTTGGGTTGATTTCGACACTTTTTGTTGGATATACATCAAGTTTACTTTTCAAGTATATTTTTAAAGAAGATCCTGAGGATTTAGATCCGAATCTTTTTGTTCCTCCTTTGGCGAAAAGGTTGAAAAGGTGGAGAAGAAGTTATAAAATTGCAACTGTAAGTGTGTTTTGTATAAAAAAAAAACAATAAACATTTAAACATTTTGTTTATAGTTAGAAGAACAAATGGAACTTCATAGCAACACAGGAAATGGAAAATAAATTACCCATTTTGTTTTGTTCCTAATAGTTCATTGTTACTCCTTATCAAATTGGAAAATTTGCTGCATTTATTTCTTAAAATCATTGAAATTAGTCGTTGATCAAAATTTAATTCATATTTTTTATTATAATAAATTATATTTGTTTTATTTGTTCAGTAATAATTTATTATTTTTTTATTGATTTTTCTGTAACAATTCTGTGTTAATTATACGTACTATTTACTTCTTTTTAAGAAACTTTGTAAAATGTTTATAAACTATTAATGGAAATTATTACATTATTTATTACTAATTGTTGTTATATTACATTTCGTAAATTATGCATTTCAAATGATGTATTTTATTTCGATAATTATTATAATTTTTTAGTGCTGCCATCTATGAATCAGTAGTTAAAATTCCTCTATCCCAATATAATAATGATAAAAAATACGTGTCAGATTAGATTTATATACAAAAACAATAAAAGCAATTAATTCTAAAACAATAAATGTTCTTCTATTAATTGTATCTACACTAAATATAAACCATCAAATAATTTTAATTCATTTTATTGACGTAAGCAAAACAACAATAAGAGTCAACAATCACAACATTAAAAAGAGTTAAACAAAAGCTTTGTTTTTATTTTAACAATGACGGAATTACTAAATAAATTACGAAAATTCGATGCTTATCCAAAAACACCCGAAGATTTTAACATAAAAACGTATGGAGGAGCTACAAGTAAGTATAACCTCAACATTTAACAACAAATTCTTAAATTAACCTTTTTTAGTTACCATAATAAGCTGTATAATAATGTCTTTACTATTTTACGTGGAATTAATGAGTTATTTAACCCCTAACATAACAGAAGAATTATTTGTGGATACATCTCGAAGTCCAAACATTCAAATTAACCTTGATATAATTGTTCCTCAAGTTTCTTGTGATTGCAAGTTTTTTTTTAAGATTATCTCAACAATAATTGTAATAATTTTATTTTAGTTTTAGCTTTAGATGCAATGGATTCTTCTGGGGAACAACACCTCCAAATTGATCATAACATTTATAAGCGTAGTTTAGATTTAGATGGTAAGCCTATAACAGAACCTAAAAAAGAAGATATCATAATAAAAGCGAAAGATGAAGAAGAAGCGAAAAACGTATCTTGTGGAAGTTGTTATGGGGCGTCTTTAGATCCTAAAAGATGTTGTAATACTTGTGAAGATGTTCGAGAGGCTTATCGCGAACGCCGTTGGGCATTCCCTGATAATCCAGAAAATATCACTCAATGTAAAGATGAAAAGTTTAATGAAAAAATTAAGAGTGCATTTCAACAGGGTTGTCAAATTTATGGCTCATTAGTTGTAAATAGAGTTAGTGGAAGTTTTCATATTGCTCCTGGTAAAAGTTTTACAGTTAATCATGTACATGTTCATGATGTACAACCCTTTTCATCCACTTCTTTTAATACTACACACAAAATTAAGCACTTATCCTTCGGGACAAGTATTGATAGCGAAACCCATAATCCACTAAAAGATACTTTGGCTATTGCAGAGGAAGGTAAGAAAAAAATTCATACAAAAATGGTTTAAATAGGTTAGCTTTTTTCGTTTTGTTTTATTAAAAAGAAACTATAACAATAACACTAAACTACCCCTAAAAAAAATTGAAAGAAATCACAATTTGTATACCCAATTTTAATGATAAAAACCATGGGTATTATTACACTTTATTAAATTCAAGGTTGCTCTCTTCAAAGCTTTCAACATCGCAAACCTGATCCTATCGCTAAAAATGTTCCGAACGAACCACCTCCTTGCAACATAACCTTCCCCACAGTATTTACAAGTTCTTTTCCTCTTAATCCAGATCTGCATTAAAAAAAATAACTTTAATAACTTTTTTACATATTCCGAGATTTGACCTAACCTCAAAGCCGAAAATCCACCAAATAAAGCGCCGCTAGCCATTCCAACACAAAATCCCAAAAAGAAACCCATTTTCATTTTATCGAAGCACGAGGGCCCCTGTTGTTGATAAACTCCACCGGGAACGGGCATTTCTTAGAGATTTTCGATGCTTTTTTATAACCTATAAAGAATGCTGTCAAATGTCAAAAAAAAGTCAAATATTTTAGCCGGGCCTTATAAAATTGACTTTTCATTTTTGCGTTTTATCTTATAAAATTGATTTATTACCTATTAAAACGGCTAATTCAATGAGTATCTGGATTCGTATTAAATTACTTTTTGTATAAAAAAAATTATAAAAACTGTGGGTTTTTGTAGGCTACGACGCCATTACATACCACAACAAAAATTTGATAATGTACCTTGATCGAGATGAACGTTTTGAATCCAACACTAAATAATTAAAAAGAGATGAAACATACGGAATTATTGAAGATAGAAAGAGATACTATTATATCAATCTCTATATACGTTTTTTTAATTTATTTAACAAATAAGCGGGAAATTTGAGTTTATTATGTAATTTTAATTTTTAGGTGCAACAATGTTTCAGTATCACATCAAAATCGTACCAACGGCTTACGTTAAAAAAAGCGGAGACAGAATCTATTCAAATCAATTCTCTGTGACGAGACACAAAAAGGTTGTGTCAATTTTAAGTGGTGAATCTGGAATGCCAGGGGCTTTTTTCCAATACGAATTATCCCCTTTAATGGTGAAATTTACCGAAACAGAACGATCATTAGGACATTTTCTTACAAATGTTTGCGCAATTATTGGTGGGGTTTACACCGTGGCGGGACTTATTGATTCTTTTTTATATCACTCAGTGAAACTTATTAAACGAAAAATAGAATTGGGAAAATTTCATTAAACTTTTTTTTTATTATTTGACTATTTTATAAAGTTTTTAAAAATGTATTAAACGCTATAAGTGATGATTTGGCTACATTTACACTAAATTCGCCGTTATCACCGGTTAATAATGTGGGAAGTGAAATATAATTGGGTTTTTTTTGGTCGTATTGATCTCTTCCTAATTCTTTTAAAAAAAGATGTCTTTGTTTTAATCGGAACTCTCTAAATGTTAAAATTTCTGGCACTTTCGATATCGTTTCTAAAGTTATATTCATTTGATTGTGTAAATATTCGAAGGTATTTAATATTTTATCAGGATCTAAAAAAAAAGAAATTTTTAAGGTTTTAATAAGAAAGAATTTTTAGGACTTACTCATTATAAATAAATTTGGTTTATTTAATAAAAGGCTTTTCATTTCATCAGGATTAAACCCCATTTCTTCTTTTATAGTAAAAATGTTTTTTTTAACATGCTGTAGATTGTATGTGATTAATTTTGGTTGTCTCGTTGCTAAACCCCTTACTTCATCCCCAAGTAAATCGAATTTTCCTTGAAAAAATCCTAATCTGTTATCAATTCTATCAGTGCTATAACAAAAAAAAATAATGGAAAGTTTTTGTAAAAAGTTAACTTTACCTAAACATTAACCAAAAAGGATTTTTTGATACAATTCGTATTATTCCATCTTCATTAAACTTTTTGTATAATAAATAATTAATTCTTACTTTTAGGTTATCAAGATCTTTTTGTAAAATATAAGGATTCTTTGTAAAAGCATTGGCAATATCATCTACAGTTAAACCCAAATCATGGAAAAACATCACATATTTTTTAACATCCCTCTCAAAATCCAAACTTAATAAGAACTGCGCAGCATTGGTTTTGTTTTCAATTTTATGTAAATTTACTCCCATTTTTATTAATTGCTGTAGTGTTTCCGATTTATTAACATATGCTGCTAAATTAAATGACGATTTTAAATAAGGAGCCACATGTGAAATATCATCGGTACACTCTTCCAAAACCGATTTCCGTTCATATTTAACATCCACCAGATCATCTTGAAGCAAATTCTTATTTATCACTAAATCGTTTTGTTGCTGAACACTTAAATCTTTTTCTTTTAAATCGGATGTGTTACAATTTGGAATTTTTAAACATTGCGATATTCTTAATAAACGTATTGTTCCTAGTCTTGATAACATTTTTAAACTTGTTTTATTAATATAAAATTTTAGGTTTAATAAGTTTGAGGTTATGCGTAGTAAACATAACCTATTTGGTTTAAAAGTGTCAAATGAGATTGATTTGGATTGATAATACAAGATGGCGTTAAACTAGGTATTTAAACTTTTATTTAATTGTTTAATATTGCTAAAAAAACGTATTGTTCGTAGTCTTAATAACATTTTTACACTTGTTTTATTAATATAAAATTTTAGGTTTAATAAATTTGAGGTTGTGCGTATTAAACATAACCTATTTATTTTAAAAGTTTCAAATGAGATTGATTTGGGTTGATAGTGCAAGATGGCGTTAAACCAGGTATTTAAACTTTTATTTAATTGTTTAATATTGATAAAAAACATATTCTTCGTAGTCTTGATAACATTTTTAAACTTGTTTCATTATTATCAAATTTTAGGTTTAATAAGTTTGAGGTTATGCGTATTAAACATAACCTATTTATTTTAAAAGTGGCAAATGAGATTGAATTGGATTGTTAATACAAGATGGCGTTAAACTAAGTATTTAAACTTTTATTTAATTGTTTAATATTGATAAAAAACGTATTGTTCGTAGTCTTGATAACATTTTTAAACTTGTTTCATTATTATCAAATATTATGTTTAATAAGTTTGAGGTTATGCGTAAAACATAACCTATTTGTTTTCAAAGTGTCAAATGACATTGCTTTGGATTGTCAATACAAGATGGCGTTATATTAATTATTTGAAAAATGATACAGTTTAAAGGAAATTGTGAATTTTCATGGAAAATAACTTTATTATATAGCATATAACATTAGAATTATAATTTATTGTATAAATGTTTTAATGTGTAGTGATAAAATTGCGCGAAAGAAAGAACGAAAAGAACATATAAATCGCATAAAAATTATACACCTATTGTTTAATATCTTTAAAGCGTGTAGATGTTTAAATACGCGTATGTATGTATTTATATTAGAGTGGGGCCCCGTACCGGAAAACGGTAATTTTCAACAAAGTTGAAAACAGTAACCTTGTAATGTTGTTAAAAAACTATTATGCTGTGGATTAGGAGATATATAACAAAATAGCTCAAAAATCACGATTTTTTATTGAAATTTTATCTAACAAAAATTAGTACATAGAAAAAGCGATTATAACAATTTAAAACTGGTAATTTTAACCACAATCAATCTAATTACATAAAACAAGTAGTCATGTCTTTTTAAATGTTGCAATCTATACAGAATAATGATTCATTCAGGATTTTCCACACTATAATCTCACCTTTGTAATTTTTTTGCAATAATTTAAGTAATAATATTGAAAAATTCAATTTTTGACATTTGACAGATGTCATTAATGTGGTGCCTTGAAATATAATGAAGTTATTGAAGAAAATTATAAATTAAAGTTGAAAGTAGTTCTTTTTGATACAATTATACAGGAAAAATTAATTTTATAACCTAAAATATACTTTAAAAATATTCTTGATGCACGTTGACCAACATAAAAAGATGTAAACTAATGTTAGAATGAAATGTTGAAATAAACATTTTAAATTAAAAAAAAATAGAAGAAATTAGTTACAAATGCGATCACAAAACCGTGTCGGGGAATCATCACGCCACCTATACGCTTCGCTCTCATTCCACAACATTTTCTAGTCGGAATTGGTAGTCCGTGACAAGGGGGGAGCCACCGTCACGGTTCGAAGCTATCAACACCAGGCAACTTAAATAGATAGAAGACCCTTCTTTCTCTTTTTCACCGAGAATAAATAAAAAAAATTATTACAATAAACAAATATGTTACAAACATTGATAGAAATTTAAAGGGGTTTAAGATTTATAATGGATTAGAAAGGATGAAAAAAGATGACGTAAAAAAAAAGAAGGAAGAAAAAATTATAAAACAATGGAAAGTCCCTTTTGTTTCGCACCTGTTGTTATTTGTTGGTGGTGCTGTTGCTGCTGATGATGATGGTTTTAGATGGCGGTCGGTTTTTAGTTCCCGGTTCGTTGACCGTGTGGATTCTCGGTAGGATGACAATTACGAAGAGGTAAAGTAGGGGAGAAGTAACCGCGTTAATAATTATTTATAAAAAAATTTAGAAAAAAAAAAGTAGGCGAGTTTTTTTTGTAACGAACAAGGTCAACACGAACAGTCACACTACATAATAACATACATACAACGTGTTACACACCATATAATGTTGGTATATAGAATATAAGTATGGATATAAATACGTGGCGTAGTTTTTCGGCATCGCAGCTGATATTGTTGTTTTGACCGGCTCACCTACATAGTATAAACAATGTTTCGTAAAAGAAAACAAAACAATCAAGTAATTGAAAACGTTGTTTTGAAAGATGATTACGATGATATTGTATTTTAATAATTACCATATGAAGGATGAAGAAGTATGATGATAAAAGGGGGAGAGTTTAAAACGCGATACGGCTGTAGTTTCGTCTTACATTGAAACCAGTCCCGGTTTTTTCCCGTCGTTGTCCGACGATCAGATCCGTTCCCAGGTTGCTTTCTTTCACGGTTCAGAAAACGACCGCGCGGCGTCCTCCTCATCGCCACCGCCGCCTCTCTATCTTTCCTACATCATTGTTCTATATTACCCAAAAGACGTTTGTTCGCCGTTATTCAAAAGTTGCAACATTCTCACACTTTGTATAAAAAGAATTCTTGAAATCCGATAAAATTAAATCAATTTTATACTGATATTATTTTTTTCAACACGTGGAATTCGGATTAGTCATTTATAATAACAGGATTCCGATTTCCTACTCTAAAGTTAAAGAAAACTACCGTTAGGATAAGAAGAAAAAACGTTTTTTTCTGTTTCAAGATCACTTGGTTTTTGTTTTTCGAACACTAAACACTTTTAAAAAAATCTTTGACGAATTTTTTTTGCGCCCCTGAGGATGGCACTCAAAGTCCACGGGTGTTTAGAAAATGGTACCCCGTGAATTCTTCCAGTGCCATTCGCAGGGTTCGGCGGTCGTTTGTCGACTGTAGTTGCGGAGAGCGGTCGACAGGTAGTTCGAGAGAACGGGGCCCCCTTCCTCCGCGTTAAAACTCACCTGCGGAACCGGCGGCGGCGGCAACGGCGCGCACACACCGCCGCCGACACCGGGGCGAGGACATTGCACCTGTGGCTTCGACGGGGCCGATTATTAGTCATCGGAACAGTACTCCATCTACCGGCTGCGCACGAACCGGAACGAAGTGACTATAGTTGTAATCCCCCCTTTTCTTTCGCAATGATGCGATTCTTGCAAATATGAACGAAACCCTTTCTTATTATTATTTTCTTAAATTTTCCATTTATACCAGTTTAAAAAAAAAGCATTGTTTTTCTTCTTGGTAATTAGTGTGATTAAGTAAACGGAAATACGGGGTCGATTTCTCGTAACTGAAGTCATCGAGACCGAGACGACGGAATCATTGCGCCGTGGTGATGATGATTCATATCTTTTCCTTCAATTCGATCTAAATATGCGCAAGCTTTCGCCGATTACGTTGGTTAGCCTGGTTAGAACGAACAGCGGAAAATGTCTTTTAGAAGCTTCCTCTTCGTGCATTCGACTTCTTGTACCGGTTTCATTTATTTTCATCTTCACCGCTACTATCATTTCCTCAGTTCATCAATTTCAAATTTGACATCTACCTGTTTATAATTAATAATTACAATTCAATCTTAATAATCATTTCAATATCTAACAATAAGAAAAAGACATACATATGTAGATTTACAGAGCAGAACAAAAGTCTAGAAACAAAATTTTCAGATTTGACAATTTTTGACAGTATTTCTGATATGAGTAACACTTTGACATTTTGGATTTTTTAATGCAACACATTTTGGAACTGCAGTGCAACAACATATAATGCAGAGCTTTATTGAAGACCTTCAATAAACTTCAAATTTAAGAAACGTAAGTTTAATTTCCTTTGTTTGTTTGCTATTAAACGTCAAAATGAGTCATTCTTTGACCTGAAGTATCTCTTATACAGGTTGCTAAGAATGGATCCCAATAAAACTAACAGACGACGAGGCAAATAAAAACAATTTTTGGTGATGTTAGGCTCGAAATATAGAATGAATCGAAGGATGGTGGAGATTGGAAGAAACTAGCTAGGTTGGTAATCCACTTAAAATTGTAAACGATTTGTTAAATTAAAGATAGGAACGAAGAAACATTATATTTGAAAACATCAAGAAAGTGATGATAAACTGGATCCACGTAAATTCACAAATTTCTGTGAAGAGTATAGCCCATCAACATAATATCAAACCTTTAGAAGTCATTATTTACCAGTAATAAGGTTCATGTTCGCCATGGAAAAAGGTGTTAAACAAGGAGACAGTTTATCCTCATTGCTATTTGTAGATTTTATGGATGAAGTGATGAAAACATGCAAGAAAAGAGCAGAAACTTCGGTGGTCGGCATTCTCAACCTCAGATCGGTTATGTACCAGGCTCTGAAATATGCAGATAATGTAGTCCTCATCGCACACTCGGAGAAGAAATTGCAACAAGCTGTATTTGAGTGGTCAGAAACTCTAAAGGAGAAGGGCCTGATATTGAACAAGGTGAAGACTCAAGTTATGGTTGTGACTAGGATATAGGAACAGGTATATAACATTCACATCGAATGTGTTGGTCAACTTCTCACCCAAGTCGGCAGCTATCAATATCTGGGCATGACAATCCATCAGATGGGCAAGTTTGCCTTACTGAAGAGGTCGGGAACAGAGTGCTCAAGGCTACTAAGGCGTATGCCCTGAGTCGGTGTGTGTTTAGAAAAGATGAAATAAGCCGGAAGGCCAAGACAAGAGTTTATAAACCCTATACTTACTTATGGTGGTGAAAGCTAGACCGCAAAGAGGAAGGACATCAGTTGATATTATAGAATGCCTCCGGAGGGTTGCATGAAAGACACGACGGGATAGAGTGCGAAACAGCAGTATTCGAGAAGAACTCAAATGCAGCTGGTCGAAAGGATGATTGAGGATTGTTTGGCCACGTAAGACGAATGGGACAGATAAGTAAACCACGGATATACATGGAGGCCAGCAGATTGGGACCAGCGGAAGGAAGACTATGCAGCAGTTCAAAGGTCTTGCTGGGCTTTGAACTTTGTGCCATCAACTCCCCAACATACCAGTTGGCCAAATACCTTGCAAAGAGCCGTATGTAGACGCTAGCGACAGTTAATATTTGCATAGCTTTAAATATGCTTCTGCAGCTATCTCGCAGTCCTGCACACGCCAAAGCTCTAAGGGCTTCCTTTTGCTAGATTAAGACCTTGGAAGTTTGAGACGATGATCCCCACACATCGATGCCATATTGAAGTATGGAATTAAAGTAGCTGAAGTAGGCGATTCTAGCAGCTTCATGCGTTGAGATAATCCTTATTCTTCTGATGAGGTAGGTTGCTGTGGCTAACTTTTTTGTAACGTATTCTATATGTGAATTCCATTTCAGGTGGGAATCTATGTTGAGACCAAGGAATTTAATCGTATGTCCCGTATTTGGCTGTCTGTTGGTGAGTATGAGTGATTGCGTCTTTTTCTCATTCAGTCTTAGCTTATTGCTGGCGAACCACTCTTTCGCTTCCAGCTCGACTTCTTCGGACCTTCCGATGAGTTCCTGTCTATTTATAGATGTCACCAAGAGCGAAGTATCAGCGAATCAAATCAGCCGTTAAGTTTTGTAGTAAGTCATTGATATAGATAATAATAATAATAATTCATTTATTGACTTAAGATCAGGAACAAAACCGGGCCAAGAACAAATCCCTGTGGCACTCCCTGCTCTATCTATCTTTTTGCCGAGAATCTTCCTTTCCAGTAAACCGTTTGTGTTCTATCCTGGAGATATGTCTTAAAGAGTGAAAGTGAAGTATACCGTAGTACTCTAGCTTAGCGAGCAAAATCTGGTGGTCGACGCAATCAAAAGCCTTTGTCAGATCGTAGCATTTGAGTAGTGCTTCTTCCTTTTTGTTGAAAGTATTTGCTATCAGTTCCAAAGGACCCGTAACAGCTGATGATGTGGATCTTAGTTTTCGGTAACCGTGTTATACGGTGCTAAATATGTTGTGATTTTCAAGAAAGTCAAGCAGTCGTTTCTTTATGACTCGTTCAAAGACCTTGGATAGTGTTGATTGTATTGCGATGGGCCTGTAATTAGCGTAACTTTAAATTCTTCTGGATAAATTCCATCTAGATTGATGGCATCTGTTAACGGTTTTGCTATTTCGTCTCATATACTCTTTAATAAAACTGATGAAATTCCATACAAGTCTAATGTATTTTTTGATTTTAGGTTCTGTATGACATTTCCGACCTCTATCAAATCTACTGGTGTGAGGAAAATAGAACTCGCAATCGACATGCTTCTCTTCACGAAGATTTCCCGACAGAGCACAGGTCCAGGTTCAGAGTGCATCTGGTTGCCAATCTCACAAAAATAATTATTAAAGTCATCCGGAGTTGGACCGTCATAGTCACAACTGGTGTCTAATTTCTTTTGGTAGAATTCGTTTTTAATTACCGTCCAAATGGCCTTAGAGCGATTGTCGCTATTTTGTATAAAGTTGGAAAGAGTTATAGCTTTTTGTTGTTGAATTGCTTGCTTGTTCATTCAGGCAAGTCCACATCTGTTGCCATAGTGTGCAATATATCCAATATTTTCTTTTTATTCTGCAGTTCCGGAGGAAAATTCATTTGACAACAGATGTGCAATGACAACATGGAAAGTGGAGACTTTGAAAGGCTTTTAGAGTGTGGTACTATTAAAATAGCCAATAAAACAGAATAAATTGGGCATCACTTCATGCATTTTATTGCAGCTTCGGTATGATTGCAGAGATGATGCTTCATGCTCCAAAAAGAAATATTTTGCACTATTTTTTCTATCTATTTCAATTTATACATCTAGGTGATGGTAGCAAGTAGTTAATGTTAGCTAGTGTTAGTTATGTTAAAGCACGTTGCAATGCACTAATTATTTCCGAAAATTTCACAATCTTCAACAACAAAAATTATGTGTTCATTGGCAAAAAACGTAGTGTTAGTAATCATAATAGTAATAACATGGCCTAATAATACTTGGTTTAGTCATAAATCGAAAATAAGGTTACAATTCTTTTATTGGTTAAAATTTACATCTTTGTTCTTTTAGATAATTCTAGATTATTTTATTTTTAGATTTTGGGTATCTTCCTGAACGTATCATCGAAATCGTTGACCGAAGAGCATCCGGCTTTCAGTTCCCCTTTCGTCGCTGCGCGTCCAGCAGCGCGAGAGCCGTTTCCGGTGCGGGACTACGTGGTGCGTATCGCGCTCGCCGAAGATGGCAGATACGGTAGGAGCAGCGCTCGGGGCAACTCCAGCGGACCGTGTCTCCCCTCGCCACCTCATTAAGCCTAACAATTGCACTTATTTTCACGGCGAAGATCACCAACGTAACTCTAGGTACTCTACGCAAGCATCCAAAACGTCTTTTCAGTCTACTTCTTTTGCTTATTTAACTTTCCAAAGAAAGAAGTAAAGTTAAAGAAAATTAGATTTCTTTAAATTTTCATATCTATATCTAAGTTAGGTTTTTAATGAAAAATTCCACAGCTTTAATCTATTTATACCAATTATTTTCGAATTGATCTATTGAAAGAATGTTTTATAAGGTTGATGGAAGTGGAATAAACGGCGACAGATGCAGATTTAACTGTACAACCAATTTGAACGGCAGCGCGGGTTCTTCGTCTTTTCTCTTCCGGAGCCGGGTTTTACAATTAAATCCGTTTGAAAAGAGCGGAGTCCCGAAGTCCCGCCGACCGTATGCTACCGCCGCGACTAACAGCAGCGGAAAACCGGGAATTAGATGAACGAATCGTCGTCGTCGTCGTGCCTAGTCACGGCGCGCTGGTTCCTCACCGAGTCGACGGCCTCGAGGTTCCGTTCAGAAGAACCCGCGACGGGTGCACGCGTCTAAAACACCCCTTTTCTTAGTCGCGCTTGGTAAACCAACGGTGAAAAAACCTGTACGTTAAACTTAAAAAGTATTCGTTTAAAAATAAAATTTTTTACACTTTTTACTTCCTTTAAGTTTAAGTCACTACTTGTCAATTAGACATAAATATGACATTGACGTATTTAGGTTATAATTTATAACATAACCTCTTTGTCGTTAATTTTTTATTTTTCAAAGAACGTAATTAAAATTTTAATTCAACCTGAATATAATAAATTCCAGTAGCGACAAGTTTGTTGCTATTAAATGTTATTAAAATCTCATTAACCGTCAAGCGGAAGCGAACGATGGTGACTACGGTGACAATTTTATGGTGTCATGATGGTTTAAATCGAATTTCACATATTTCCCACACCATCGTTAATTTTCCCACACCAGAAGAGATCTATTAAAACGACCACCCTATTTCGTTCCGTTTTCAATTTATTGCTATTACCCAAATCAATTAAAAACTAAATTTACAGTTTTGAACGATTTCCATTTTGATTAAGAGGCTATTACACTATCTCCCGATTTACATTGAAGATAGGTTTTGTACAAAACAGTGTAAATTGAAATCTTGGATTTTGTTAAGTAAAATCGTGTTAAACGAAAAAAAAACGTCATCACTTTCATGAACTTGAGTTTTCTTGATGCGATTCTGACTCAATGGTTAACGAAATTTTGCAAAATCTTTACAGATTTGTGTCATATTGTATGAAATGTTGCCCAATTTTCTTCACAATTCAAGTCCTAAGCTAATGATTCTTGCTGTGCACGCAACTGGTTCAAATTGCTCTTCATTCGAATCATTGTCTTCATCATGTTGGTTTGTTTTATGAACCATGTTCATTAAATCATCTTCATTCAGTTCTTAAACTATAAACTTGTAAGTTTAAATGATCCCTTAATCTAATGGCTATAATAAAGAAGTTGTATTCTTCGGTAAAAAGACAACCTTTACATTTTCGTGTTGTAAATCTGGAGGATGAGCTGGAGCATTATCAATTAATACAACGGTAATCCCTTGTTCATTGAAAGCTGTGGCAGCCATCCAATAGACGGGAAAGTTTTTGCATTGCAACAGAAAAGAACTTTTCACTACTTTATGACCACTAGCTGATTTGTGAGCTTTAGCTATGAAGGTTTTTGCTGGCATTCTTTTTGTTCTTCAAATCCTTTGCACTATAGAACCTTAGACACATATGGCTTAACAAACAATATAATAAAATCAGTAATAGAACAGTATACGGTCAATCTTAATATTATGTTCAATAAATGTGTCAGCGATGGAATTTTTCCTTCAGAGTTCAAGACAGCGAGAGTCCTGCCATTATATAAGAAGGGTGATAAAAAGGACTATAACAATTATAGACCTATATCAATTTTGCCCGTTATCTCCAAGATATTTGAAAGATTAATAGCAAGATGGTTGGTGGAATACTTTAAGACCAATAAATATTTTGCGACCAGTCCCCACGGGTACCAATTAGGCAAATCGGTAATGACGGCTGTTTCTGAAGTAATTGCCTTTATAACGAAAGCACACGATGAGCAAAATGTGGTTCAGATCGACCTGCTGGACCTCAGTAAGGCATTCGATACCATCAGCCACTCCATTCTCCTGAGTAAACTTCAGTTTTATGGTATTAGAGGTCTATAACTAAATTTAATAAGATCTTATTTGATGGACAGACAACAATATGTTGAGTATAATGGTAATAGATCGTCTAGTGTAAAAATCAAACATGGTGTTCCTCAGGGGTCTGTTCTTAGACCTCTCCTGTTTATCATCTGCCTTCCAACATTATTGAAGAAACATATTTATATGCTGATGATACATCCATCGTATTAAAGGACACTACAAAGGATAAATCACAAGAAGCTATAGTGTCCACTCAAGAATGGTTCAGTAAAAATCTGCTCAAACTAAACAGTGAAAAAACAGAACATATAGTGTTGGAGACCACTCGACGTGGGAGGGAATCTACAACTTTAAAATTTTTGGGTATGCATCTAGACAGCGGAATGACGTGGCAAGTACACTTGAAGCATCTGAGGACTAGGCGGACTTCTGCTATCTTTACAATACGAAGACTAAAACAAGTAACCCCTCGCCAGGCAGCGAGGTTGTCATACTTTGCATCTCTTCACTCGGTGGCGTCGTATGGTGTTCTTTTCTGGGGTGGGGCATCTGATTTTCTGAACTTCCTTGATTTCCATAGCTATCTGACAAGATCACGACACCAATATCAGGTACCGTACCTCAGAATTGCATCAACGCAAAAGTATGTGGATTACTGGGGTCCAAAACTCTATAACCAACTACCACCGCAGCTGATTGCGCTGTCTAGGGAACGGTTTAAGAGGAAAATAAAAGAATATTTGATGGAGAACGTTTTCTATTCGTGCGAGGAATATCTCACGACAGTTCAGTCTCACAATTTTAATGCGTAATGTGTAGTGTGTAATTGCCATGAAATGTATATTTGTATTATTAATATTTCATTCTACTTCTTATGTATTCAATAACGTTTTGTAGTAATGGTTTGTATGTATGTATGTAGGAAAGCGGAGGGTATGCTACGCACACAGCACCTAGGCCCCAACGGGCCCCTTGTACATTCTTCTACACTGTCTCCGGCTACATCAACCAGCCTAAGGAATTTCCGAAGGCTAGGATACAGCTCAGAGGTGTGTTCCTGATGCCATCTGTGGTCGGCCATTCCTTTCCGAAGTCTCTCATTCTGAGGTCTTGCAGAGTGGGGCATTCACACAAGATGTGTCGGACCGTCTCCTCGCTCTCTTTACAGAGGCGGCAGAGAGGACTAATAGCAAGCTTAAGGTTATAAAGATGCTTGTTTACCTTACAGTGACCCGTGACGAGTCCCGTTACAGTTCGTAGAGCGTTTCTACCAAGCCTTACGAAAGACAAGGCTGCCTCTGCTGAAGGTAATGGTTTATTACGACAATAAAATATATTATTATTATTAAAAAATTTACGCAAACTATAAAGATACCATAAAAACTACAAACGTTGAAAACTGACCAATTCAAAAAATAAACGCACAATAGTATAAGCTTTGCTGATAAAATGATTCGCACTATGTACTTCCATGAACCAAGTAGCTTTACTGCTGTCAATACATACGTACAGATTAGCGGGATTCCCCTAAATGTATATATTTTACAGGGAGTCCCCTGTTCTGTTGCTTTGTAAAAAGTAATATTACAAAGATTTAGTTTTTTAAATCAACTTTATTTATAGTTCAGCATCTTTAATGTTTTTATTGTACTCCGAAAGGCATATTTTAACCTCAAACGAATGATTATCTTCCAGCGACTTTAACCATCCCAAAATTTCATCATTTTCATCGATATAAAGTTTTTTTAGTTTTCGAGGAAGTGGAAATGCGGTTATTAAACGTAAACTTTTCATAAATGCCATATTGAGCATTTTTAATTGTAATAAATATTTCGAAACCGATTCCAAGCTGGTTATGCTTTTGCAACTTTTTAAACTTAACTTTTCTAAATTTCGCGCAACGTTCGCTATAATATCCAAACTTCCTTCGGTGATTTTCCAACAACCAGATAAATCCAATACGGTTAATTTTTTCATGACGCGTTCCCCGTCTTCGAATAGTTCCATAACGTGAATGTCGTTGATTTGATACGCGTTGGTTATTTTTAATACTTTTAATCGGGGGAATTGTTGCCATATCGAAGCGAATTGTTCCCCAACTAATTTCGTTGCGCTAAAAAGAGCTAGCCTTTCTAATTTTCTACAATTAAAAACTACCTAGAAAACAATGATTTTATAAAAAAAAATAAAAATTAAGTTGGGCAACTCAATATACTCCGAAAGTTGAAACTGAAAAAGTTGCGCAATCAAAAGCTAAAGAAATCAATCTGTCACAAGTACTTAAAAATATTAAAACCGCATCATCATCTTTTAAAACTTCACTTTTACATACGTATTTTGAAACTCTTAAATCGTTTAATTTTCGGCAATTTAAAACTGCCGTGATTAAATCTTTTGCGCCTAAATGCGGATTATCGCTCAAATTTAATTTTCTAAAAAGAAAAATTGATTTTTGTTAGTTAATTAATTCGAAATTTTGATTTTTACCAACTTTAGGTGTGTAAGGGATGATAATTCTTTGTAAAAAGTGGTCCCTTTGATTTGAGTTCCACTCAAGTCCAACGACTCCAGTCGAGGGCACGACTTTATGACGAAACGGATCGCGGACTCCGGCACCGTACCTGGAGTGCAGTGCCTTATTGCCAGGTGTTTGATGCCCGGTATGCACCTACAGACCTGCCTAATGACGGTTGCCGGTTCCAATATGTCGTCAGCACGAACCGACTCTAATTTCGTCCAACTGCGAATCTTCTTGCAAATAAAATTAATCGGAACGTCATTACCACGGATTGTTAACGATTTCCATAGATCGGGATGTTGAGCCGCATATTTCCATTGTATACAAACCTCAAACAAAAATTTTAGGTATATTACTTGTAATTACAACGTATTTTTTTGTACCAGCATTAAACTTTTTAATTCCAATTGGGTAAAGTACCGAAAAATTTTAACCAAAATAGGAATGGGGAGGTTATGATACCAAGTTGAAGTTATATTATAATTAGACGATGGTGAGGTTGATTTTAATGGGTTTCTTAATACTGACATAGCCGAGGGCATTCGCGACGACGAATTTTTATTCATTTTCTTGACACTTTTAAACTTATTTCTTGTCTTCACAAAATTTTTAAATTAACATCACTAATGACATTTGACGTTATATGAACATATATTTTCGTCGTTTTAAACCAGTTTTACAAGTAAAATCAATATAAATAATAAAGCTTTTCGATTATAAGGTTATAAATCAATAAATAAAAAAGTAATAATTTTTGACAATTATGACATTTTAAATTTTATTGACATCACCACGGTACCAACATAAATGAAGAAAATTATATCTCAATAAAAATATAATTTTAAATTAAATTATGGTGAAAAACTATTTTTATCTCGTTTTAAGATAATAATTTTATTTAATCTCAAAAATAAATATTATAATTTTAGTTCTTATTTTCACCACGGTGAAGTTAGAAAAAAATCGCGCATGCGTGTTACATGACAATTGACGTGTCTTTAGTTTTGGTTGAATCGAATCTGTTAATAACTTAATCAAAAAAATATTAAATAAAAATCGTATTTTTTAAAATAAATCATGGCCCCTAAGGAAAAACCGGAAGCCGCGAAGGTAATAATCAATCAAATCCGATTATTTTCGTATTTGGTTGATGAAACGATATGAGATATAACCTAAAAATATTTTCCATGTCTCCATAGGTAAAAATCAACAAATGGGATGGATCTGCGGTAAAAAATGCTTTAGATGATGCTGTTAGAGAGGTTTAAATTGCATTTTATACTTAAACCATAAAAATTTTAACATCAATTTGTTATAGGTGCTTATTACTAATTTTAAGTACAAAGAAAATCATTCCCTCATGGATGGGAGATTATTTATTTGCGGAATTGCTGTTGGTGTGGCAATGTTCGCTTTGTTATGGGATCATTTATACCCATTTCCACAATCGAGGTACTTTTCAAATTTCTAAAGCATTTTCTTATTAATCATTTCATTTTTAGGCCTATTCTTATATTTTGTGTTACCACTTATTTTGTAATGATGGGGATCCTTACTCTTTACACTACTTATAAGGAAAAGGGCATTTTTGCTGTTGCTATACAAAAAACTGGTTCAAAAGATAATGTATGGGAAGTCAGTTCAGTACTTAAAAAGTAAGTTAAAAACAATGATAGAAAATGGCTAAATGCTTCTAGTTCTAGTGTTAGTTACTGATAGTGTTAGTTCTAGTTTAAAAGAAACGAATTTAACTTTAAATTTTTTCTAGATATGATGATAAATATAATCTATCTTTGGCATTTATCGATGGAAAAAATGGGAAAAGAAGAGAAGCTTGCATACAAAAAAGTGTAGCGAATTACATTGATGTAAATGGCAGTATAGTACAAGATCTGGTTGATACAGAAGTAACAAAACTGCACAATTCTCTTTTAAATGATCGTAAAGATAACTAAAACAATACCTTAAAGAAGCATCTCAATTTTTTTTTTAAATAAATGCATTTATTGTAACTTAAAACTTAAATTGAATACAAAGATTAAATTGAAAGAAGAAAAATGAATAAGCTTTCTAAAAACTATTTTATAACTAGACAAAGATGTTTTTATTTTAACCCATTATGTTGTTATTAATCTTTTTTCTCATCACTTTTAATTTCTTTATTATCATCTTTATTAGCTTCCGGCAACCATAATCCACTATCAACACATCTTTTCATGTGATATCTAGCCGATTCTTCATCCATTTTAGTAATCGTTTCTTGTAATAACCCAATATCTTGAGATTCAAAACATTTTTGAAGCTCCGGTGGTAAACTCTCAAATACTTCTTGCGGATCCAAACCGCCTGGACCTAATCTTTGTTTACGTTCTTCTTCTTCAGCTTCCTAAAACAAATAGTTATTATTAAATCCTAAATCACAACATATTTACCTTTATAGCTTCTTCAAGCTTTTCAGCTGCACGTTTACGAATCCTTTCCTTAAATTGTTTCAATTCATCATTAAAGGAGGCTTGATATTCAGGTTCAACAACTTGTATTTTGGTAAAAAAAGCATCTAAACATTGCCTTGGATCATAATCGAGTTGTTTTGATAATTCCAGAATGTATTGCATGCAAATTGTTTGATGTGCAACATGCTCCATAAGACTGTGTTTCTCTTCCATTTCCAAATTAATACACCATATCACTAAATAATTAGCTGTATCCTCGCAAACTAAATAATCGTGAGCTTTTAAGTAAGCTCGAGAATCTTCGTATTTTTGCAACATTCCAAATTTCTTTAATTCTGATTCGTGATTTTTAATGAAGTTTTTCATTCGAGCTTCTCTTTCTTCTTCAGATAAATTGTCATCTTTTGGTCTTGGGGCTGGTTTATTAATTATAGTTTTAGCAAAACCTGGTTTACTAATCGTATCAACATTCCAAGGTTGTTTTTTCTCCTTTTTCTTTAATTCATCACTCGTTTTCTTTATACTTTCACCCTCTTTTTCCAATTCTTTTATTACTTTATCTAATTCACTCAAATTCGCACCTTCCGCCTTAGCCAATTTACTTCTTGCTTCCGCCAGCTTTTTCTCGTGCTCCGCTTTACGCTTTTCGAATTGTTCCACTTCCTGTTTGTGCTCTTCCATACGTTGAACCCTCGCTTGGTGTCTCCATCTGAAGAGGGATGGGGTGTCAATGTTCGGGTGAGTGTCATCTTCGTCGTCTGAAATCTACAAAAATAAGGTTAAGTGAGAATGTTACGCGTATTTCATATAAAAACCTCTATATTTGCCCACTTGCTATAATCTACCATGATTTTTAGTTGAAGAATAAAACGAAGATTATTTTACGAGTGTTTTTTGACGCAATTTTGACAGTTATTTATTTTCTAGAATTATTTCATTTTTTCTAAAACGTATATTTGTGCTAAAGTAAACAATTTCTAATATTTATTTTATACTTTATTTACGTATTTTTAATCAAAAATAGCAATAATTCATCGATTGAAATAAAACAAATAAATCTTTTTTTAAATTATAAAATTTTTATGATATTGGCATATTTTTTCATTTTTAGTTAGGTTGTTTGGTAAGGCGAAAATACAGTTATCTAAAATATCTTCCACATATTTTGACTGTAACATCTCTTCGTCCTTATCTTATTCGCAAAAATTGATTAACCCATCTCTTTTATGTTGAGATAGTATTAGGTGTTTTTTTTTTAGACAGTAAGAGTTTCATTTTAAAATCGAAACGTCAAAAGCTAAATGTCAATCCGATGTCAGTGGTGTCATGAAAGTTGGTTTATTCGTTATTTACAAAAATCTATTAGTGATGTTCATAAGGAAAGGATAGTGTGTGATCTGAGAAAGTTTTTAATTTAAACCGGAGTGAATGACACCAAAACTGGACGATGAGGATAAAAATCCTCAGTATGCAATAAAACAACATTTGCTCAAACTAGCAATATGCGTATAATAAGCATCTCTTTGAGCGGAATTTTGGTGTGTCTGTTCATTTTGGTCGGTTATGCGGCGGTTGATTTGCAACCCTGCGATAAATCGAGACGGGTGTTCACGGATACGTGGGGCGTAATTACGGACGGGCCCGTTGGTTTTAACTACACACAGGATAGTCATTGTGAGTGGCTAATCAAAGCAAATGGAAGTAGTAAGTTCATCACGTTAAGTTTTCGTAGTATGGGAACTGAATGTTCTTATGATTATGTATTTGTTTACGATGGGGATTCGTTTAAATCGCCGTTGTTGGGCAGCTTTAGCGGCAAAACTGAGCCACAAAAAGTCATCGCGAAATCTGGGTATATGTTAATTTTGTTGTACAGCGACACTAATTATGTATTGGACGGATTTCGAGCTGAATATTCAATCACAGATTGTCCTAATAATTGTACAAATAACGGTTTTTGTAATAAATATACGAATCATTGCGTTTGTGGTAGTAATTTCGGTGGATTTGATTGCTCAAAAAAGTTATGCCCAGATGATTGTGGTCAAAAAGAAGGAAAGGGGATATGTTTGGACGGATTTTGTAAATGTTCGCCACATTATTCCGGGCAAAGTTGTAGCCTATTCGAATACGACGATGACGGAAATAAGTGGCATTGGCTGAGTTATTCAGAAAATGGGTTATCTCAGCGAGCGGCACACAGCGCAGTTTATGTTCAAGCAACTGATTCTTTGTATGTTTTTGGAGGATATAACTTAAACGAAGTTATAAGCAGCTTAGAAGTGTACAGTTTTAAAAATTCCACTTGGACAGATGAATTAGGTAAAGAATTACCTGATAGGAAATTATATAAACCCATAGTACTTGGGACAATACGCCAGCTACTTGAAATAGCGAATGATCCGTGGTTAAAAGATTGGGGAATAAATAAACAAAAATCGTCCTTCTTCAGTAACTACATATATAGTTTAAATGAAAATTTAGGAAATCGTCGCACTCAAAGACATAGTCAACATCCACGAGGGCAAAAACCCGCTGCAAGATACGGACATGCCGCGTGCGAAGTCGATGAAGGTTTTTTAATCTTCGGCGGGAAATTACATAACGGTAGTTTAGCAAATGATTTATGGCTATTTAATGTTTTTACGAAACATTGGGAGTTACGAGCTCAACTTTCCGACATCCGACCCCCTCCATTAACGCGACATACTCTAACTAGAGCGGGTGACACGATTTATTTATTTGGAGGAGGAACCGCCAGTGGTGAATTCTCATCGAAATTATTCTCAATATCTTTATTACCCGATCGTAGCGAAGAATGGCAAGAAGTTAAATATCGTGGTGGTAAAGAATTGGATGTTAGGATTGTTGCCCACACCACGGTTTATCACGCGGCAACAAATTCCTTATTAGTTTACGGCGGAATCGTAGCTGGAATCGCGCGATTTTCAAAATTATCCGACAGGATGTACTCGTTTCAATTAAATCATCGCCAATGGACCGAAATCCACTACGCCCGAGAATATTTACGCGAATCTTTTGTACCGAGAGAACGCGCTTTTCACACTGCAAATATAATGGGGAATTATCTTGTGGTTTTTGGAGGTTACTCACATCGACATAACAAAGAAGAAATTTGTTACGATAATCTTATGTATTTGTACCACTTAGGGTGTCACATTTGGGTTAATCCTGAAATTTTGGGGAAAGCTAAAGACTCAAAATATCCAAAACAACAAGGCGTTTTCGCTCACGCTTCGAGCGTCCGAAACGGAAACACTTTACTTTTAATCGGGGGTTATCACGGAAATATCAACGGTGATCTTTTAGCGTATACAGTCCCTCCAATGATTTCAACACGAACAAACGAATTTTACGATCCCGACACGATTTGTGGGAGACACAAAAATAACGCGGAATGTATCAAAGATCCGGAATGTGGGTGGTGCCTTGCGGATGCTTCTTGTTACGGAAGAACAGTTGGAGCGAATTGCACGACAAATTTGTTAACAACGCGGTGTTTGGGAGTTTGCCCGGCCCTTCTTGATTGCCGGTCCTGCTTAATTCATGGACTTTTATATCAAAATGCGAAACATTTAGTTTCCGCAGCTTACAAACTTGGATTGGCCGAGTGTACTTGGTGTGTACAAAATGCTCGTTGTCACCATAAGGATGATTATGGAGTTTGTGGATTGAGGGAAGATCGACCGGGATGGTGGGGAACTAAAGGAACGGAAGTTGTTAAACCTGAAGAGTGTAATAAGTTGGATGAACGACCTGGATTAACTTTTATTAAATATTATCATCCTGTTAATTTTTCTCAACCGGATATTGTTGATATCATAAACGCTACAACAGTAAGTATAAGTTATTATATAGTAGAAACCACGAGAGCTGGCAGTAAGTCATCGCTTAAAAATGGTGTGAATCAAGATATGGACGTACTACTTAGATTATTTCATCACATACAGTATTGGAAAAAAGTAAAGTTTTCTATATTAAATTTTAAATTTATGTTTTTTCTCAGGTTGTCCATTACTATGGCAATGTGTATTATGTAGTAATTGTTTAGCCGAAATTTGACAAAGATAGCCCTATTTTTATAGAAATTAAGCAGAATTGCAAAAGTTGAGTTGGAAAAAAGTAGAACAACTTAACAATTTATAGATAAATAACAGTTAAATTGAATAAAAAGCAAATATTTTTTAGTACCTAATACAATCTCCTTTATTATTAATGACATCGTGACACCTTCGTGACATTGAGTGTATTAAGCTGTCAATGGTTTCTTTCGATATTTTAGACCATTCATTTTGAAGAGGAGCGAACAATTCGTCACCAAAGTTTTGGCTGAAGAATAAAATGGATATTTTTTAGCTGTTTTTACAACTATTCTATCAAGGCATCCATTGGTTTTTCTGAGACGTCCAGACTTTTTCTTCAAGTCTATAAGTCCCGTCTCACGATATTGTTTAATAATTTGCGATACTACACATTTGTGTAAAGAGAATTTGCGAGCGATATCACATTGTTTAATATGGTTTTCAAAATCATTAATAACCATTTATTTCACAGTTTTACAAACAGCTACACCACAAGGCATGTTTAAGGCTGGTCTTATCGAATGTATCTTATCAAAAACTCGTTCTTATTTGCCATATGCTTGTATTTCTTAGCAAAGTTGTTTTACTTTTTCGAACCCAAGTTTTATAATTTTATTTTATTTCTAATAAAATAAGGCTAGTTTTGTGAAATCTTCTCTACATAAATGCTATATAATATACACTACTATAGTAGTGTAAATCCTAAGGAAAAACATTAATTTCAAATTTAATTTACAAAAATTAAAAGTTGCTCTACTTTTTTCCAATACTGTACATTTAAATGTTTAGGTTATATGTCAAACATTGTCAAAGATTGTTGAGGTTAACGTTAAGTTTAGATTAAAGTTTATGTAATTATTAATTTATGTAATAAATAGTTTTAAAGGTTGTTTACAAGTCATAAGTGAGGTCTATGTATTTAAACAGTGGTTTAACGCTCACAAGAGTTTCGATTTGAGGTTAGGATTACGGTAGGTACATCCGTTAGAAGAACAGACGTACTTTTTCGACGTGGCTATTTGAATTGTATGTGGTTTGTGAATTTTAATTTGCTACGTATGGCATTTGTGCCACCTCTCGTGGTTTCTACTATATCAGGAATTTCATACAACTCACAATATATGAATACAGTAATCGTAATTACGAAACTATGCACTTACACTGTCCCACATAAAATGCAACATAGCTTAATAGTACAGGCATTGGGTAGTTTTGCAAAGGAAAAGTTTTGCTTGGAAAAGGTGACGTCCTTATGATAACTCCGAGTTTCCATCTCTTTTAGCCGCACCTCTCCCAAGACGCCTAACCTGACTGATTCTAGTTCTAGGTCTTGTGTTAGTTCTAGTGATAGTGTTAGTGTAAAACTAGAACTAACACTAGACCTAGAACTAGAAACATTCGGGTTTAGCCGTCTTAAGAGACGTACGGCTAAACCCAAATTTTTTTAGTTCTAATGTTACTTCTAGTGGCAGTGCAAGTGTAAAACTAGAACTAACACTATACCTAGAACTATAATCATTCGAGTTTAGCCGTCTTTAGAGACGTGCGGCTAAACCCAAATGATTCTAGTTCTAGGTATAGTATTCGTTATACATTGCCATAGTGCTGGTATAAAACTACAACTAACACTAGACCTAAAACTAGAAACATTCGGCTTTAGCTGTCTCAGACGCGCGGCTAAACCCGTCTAGTGTTAGTTCTAGTTTTAATTGTTATGCAGCGCTAGACCAAGAAATAGAATCATTTGGGTTCAGCGAAAAACGATGATTTACTGCCACCTCTCGTGGTGTCTACTATATCAGGAATTTCATATAACTACCATTCGGGCTAAACCCGATACTTTCTAGTTCTAGGTCTAGTGTTAGTTCTAGTTTTAGTTCAATACAAATATGCAACATAGTGATATCTTATGTTAATTATTGCTATCTACCACTGCCACTAGAACTAACATTAGATCTAGAACTAGGTACATTCAGATATGTTACGTTTCATGTTGGACAAAGTAAGTAGGTACGCCTTGGAAATATATTTTCATGGAAATATATTGCATTTTAAGTAAGGCATAAACAAATAAATACTATCTATTTTCATTGTAGGAAAGAAAATCCTGTTTAATGTCAATTTTTTATTATGGAATTTTAATTATGCACATAATTCTTAGAAAAAATATAGTGAGACGTTTTAATTGCGCGCAAACGACGCTTTAATTATTTATCATTACAAAAATAACTCAACTAGAACTAAAAAAATAATTTCCCATGTAGAAATAGTGATTACGTAATTATTAGTAAATTAATTAAAGCTGATAATGTCAGCGTATTAAAGGATAACAACAATTAAAGGAAACAACCATAAAATTTTTAAAGCATCCAATATTTTTTTAAAATACTTTAAATAATTCGCAACTCTACGTTTGAACAACAATTTACGTGTAAATAGAAATTTATTCATTTGCGTCACCAGTTTACACAAAGAAAAATATTAGATTTTTAAATTAAGATCTTTTATTCAATAAATTTAATAATAAATTAATTTTAATAAATTTTTTTAGGCAGATTTAAGCAGCCCATCTGGTCATCTTTTAAAAACGGTGGATGGTTCAATGATGGGTCGAATGTTGGGTTTTTTACGTCCACCAAACGAATGGGATGAAAAATTAAAAGTTTGCGTAGCATCTTGTAACGCAACGTTAAAAATCGGGGACGATTTAGTATCAAGTATATCATCAATATATCGAAAAGTGTGCATGCCAAAAAATTGGCCAGAAGACGTCTCTTCCGATCGTGTATCAATTGATTTCCTAGCTCAACGCGTTATAAGCTCATTTAGTTCCCACCAACAAGTCGGAATGATGCATCTCCAACATTACAAAGAAAACGAGGAAAATCAACCCAAATTTTTTCGATTCGAATATTTAGAACCATACAGTAACGGAAGTTGTCTTCAATACACAAATTGTCAACATTGCTTAACAGATGCAAGTTGTGGTTGGTGCGAATTATCGAATCAATGCGTTTCAAGGGAATTAGATGAAACGAAAAGTTGTGTTATTGAAGACGATTGGAGATATTTAACCTTACAACCAAGCGAATGTTCGAATTGTTCGAATTTTATCTCGTGCGAAAGTTGTACAGGATCGGGATTTTGCGAATGGTGGATTGAAGAAGCTAAATGTGCTAGAATTGGATCGTTTCAAGATGCGGCAACTAACCCCGAATTATGTCCAACACCGTGTTATAAACGCCCGGATTGTTCGAGTTGTCTTCAAGAAAAAGGGCGTTGCGTTTGGTGTGAAGCAACTCAACAATGTTTTAGTTTTTCGGTTTATACCAGTGAGTATCAATTCGGAATGTGTCGCGAATGGTTAGATCAAGCATTTCCACTTGTTACAAATCAAGAAAGCAATTTCCAACAAACCACTAAACTTCAAGATCAATGCAAATCCTGTTCGCATCACGTAAATTGCACAAATTGTTTAAGTTCATTAAGTTGTGGTTGGTGTTATAACTCTTCAAATCCAATAAATGGGGTTTGTGTCCAAGGTGATTTTAACACACCCACTGTAAATTGTTCAACTCAATTGGGTATAACCAACGCTCGGTGGGCTTATGCTCAATGTCCAGATGTTGATGAATGCCATTTAGGACTTCATGATTGCCACCCAGAAGCTATTTGCACCAACACAGATGGTTCATTTGATTGTATTTGTAAACGAGGATATTTAGGCGATGGTCGCACAAGCTGTGTTAAAACTTGTTACAACACGTGCGTTCATGGCTCTTGTTCTGGCGAACCAGATTACACCTGCAAATGTTCAATTGGGTGGATGGGCCCTGATTGTTCAATAAACTGCGAGTGTAACAATCATTCTTATTGTCCGAAAGGAGTCGGGATATGCGAGGCTTGTCAAAATTGGACTGAGGGTGAACATTGCGATTTTTGTAAAGCGGGAAGTTACGGGAATGCAACCACGGACCAAGGTTGTCATAAATGCGAGTGTAACGGACACGGAAACATCTCAAAAGGGGAGTGCGATATACAAACGGGAGTGTGTTTTTGTCAGGATAATACCGAAGGGGACCGTTGCGAACGGTGCAAAGCCAATTATTATGGCGATCCGCGATATGGAAAGCAGTGTTATTATCAGTGTGAAGCTAGAGGGATGTTAAAAAGTAGTGAAGGGCAAGGGATAAGTTCGAGAAAATCGTATAATACTTCAAGAGAACCACCGCCAAGGGAATGTTTATGGATTATTAATCCAAGAGTTGAATTTGGATCTGCTATTATTCAATTACAAGTAATTTACATAGTTTATTATAAATAAAATAATTAGGTTAAGGTTATGTATTGCAATCATAAAACTTTCCTTAAAAATTTTCATAAATATTCATATTATGACTGTATTGGTGAATTATAATTAATAATTTATTTTATTTATTATAATTTTTGTTTAATAACGCTAAATGTTAATTGAAAAGCAAAATTTTTTTTTGTATTAATTTTTATTTATGTTGGCAATACTTTTAAATTTGACAAATTAAATTTCAAACATAACCTCAAAATTTAAAATTTAATTTATTTCAGGTAAACGCAAGCGATTTAAATGTAACTTGTGGTGAAAATGCCGTTTATGTTTATGACGGTTTCGCGGAATTAACAGATATGAGCAATCAAAACGCATTAGCAGCTGCATATTGTAGTGAAGATGCTTTACCAACATCAATTGTAGAATCAAAAACAGGTAAAATTCTTATATCAATAATTAAATTAAATTATTATTTATTATCATTTAAGGTCACTTAACTGTCCATTATAAACAAGGTACTTTCGGGGAAGGTTTTAACGCAATCTATAAAGTGATTCATTGCGGTCAATGTCAATATCCGCGTAGATGTAAGAATGGCCAATGCATTTGCGACGAAGGTCGTGTTGGTCCAAATTGCGAACAAATAATTTGTCCCGATGATTGTCACAGCGGTGAGGGTCGCGGGATTTGTGATATCAACTATGGAAGGTGTTTGTGTAACAAAGATTATGGTGGGACATCTTGCGATGTTAGGTAAGAAGAAATAAATTTATTATTAAAATAAAACATTTACAACTCGATTATTAACATAGATTGTATCGTCCTAAAACGTTTTTGGGTATATTTTTTCCATGTTGTCTCAAAAAATTAAATAAATTTTGTAGCAATATTTTATCATTTTTTGATAAAAACATCGTGATTATGTTAAATCTGGAGAGTACAGATAGATTTACAAGTAAATTGTAAACCTTCTCAACTTCATGAACAACTGTAAAATGTCTGTATAAACAGTTTAAGATTTCATTTAACATAGTGGCGTCCAGTTTATTTCCAATTACTAAAAAAAAAAATAAATTAGTTATTTATATCTTATGGGAATAATTGGATCGCGTTATACATCACTTAACTAAGCTACATTTTATCGTTTTTCGAGATATTTAGTGGCAGTGGAGGTAGCGCTAATTTGCATAAGATATTACTATGTTGTATATTTTTATTGAATTAAAACTAGAACGACAACTAGAAACATTCGAGTTTAGTCGTGAAAAAAACTTTCAGTTCTCAAAAAGTTCGATCTTTCAACTATTAATTTTGACATATTTGTCAACTTTATAAAAAATCCTTTAAAATGTGTCCAACCTCTACATATTTAACTTTGATATTAATGGAGATACAATCACTTCCGGTTTGAAACGTCAACGTCGAATAAAAAACATTAAATCCGAAGATAGCAACAATGAAGATAGCAATTTAATTTTTAAATATTAATAACAACCTTAATTTTTGATTTTTTTTTATTATATTTTTGTTTTTGTGACAAATATTAAGACATTTTATAAAAATTAAGAATATGTCAAAATGACATTGACATTTCAAACCGGAAGTTATGATCTTATATCTCGAGTAATATTGGAATTAAATGTATCATGTTTGGACTCGTTTTAAAGTATTTTTCACGGTTGAAATTTTAAACCTGAAGTTAGTTATCCTTAATAGACAAATGGACAACTTCATGTTGTTCTTTCATGATGTATTCTTTATTAAAAAAACCATTAAAATGAGTCCAAACAAGACGCACTTATCTCAAAAAACAAAAAAGTTTGAATAAAAAACATTAAACCCGAAGTTAGCAACAATGAAGATAGCAATTTAATTTTTAAATATTAATACCAACCTTAATTTTTGAATTTTTTTTATTATATTTTTGTTTTTGTGACCAATTTTAAGACATTTTATAAATATTAAGAATATGTCAAAATGACATTGACATTTCAAACCGGAAGTTGCTTATATCTCGAGTAATATTGGAATTAAACGTATCATGTTTGGACTCATTTTAAAGTATTTTTCACGACGATTACAAATATGTCAAAATTGACGTTGACATTCTTAACCGGAAGTTGACCATAACTTCATTAATATCGAAGATAAATGTGGCGTGTTTGGACTCATTTTAAAAGATTTTTAATGAAGATTACAAATATGTCAAAATTAAGGTTGACATTTTAAATCTGAAGTTAGTTATCATATAATAGAAGTTTTATAACTGAAGTTAATCACATTTCCGCACTTTCTTTTTATTTTTAACGTAATTTTTGGGTGATTTCACATTGATTAAAAAAATCGTCGATTTTTAAGCCACGTCCAAAGTTTCTTAATATTCTTTTGTTAAAAAAGAGCGTTCTGAAATTTTATTTTACAACTTTTTAAACTCTATGACGTGATGTTAATCTATTTGTAGAGTTTCTGAAGATGGCCAAGGGCCGAAACTAATTAGACTTAAATTCTATATAAAAAGAAACTAGTTGAAAAGTACAAAATCAAACTCCAGATAATTTTCTTCAAAAATTTTTACACGAAACATCATTTTGACTCTAGTATTTGATTAAATTTATGCCACGACTTATAGAAACAGCTTGTATAATCGTAAAACGACTGACCAAGCGGATTTTGTGCACCAAACAATTTTCAATAGTTGGAGCCTGTCTATTCCGAGAAGTCTTATATTTTTAGAGACATGAAAACGAAAATCTCGTTTTACTCAACATTGATTATTTGTCGCTTAGTGAAGTGATGCATAACGCGGTCCAATTATGGGATATAATATTATTTATGGGGTTATTATAGTAATTATGTGTTACCAAAGCCAAACCCTAGTCTAAAATAGAAAAAGAAGGAGCTATGGAATTTTACAAAACCAAAAATCTTATAATTTATTTTGGCACNAAGATAAATATGTCGTGTTTGTACTCATTTTAAAGGATTTTTAATGAAGATTACAAATATGTCAAAATTGAGGTTGACATTTTAAACCTGAAGTTAGTTATCATATAATAGAAGTTTTATAACTGAAGTTAATCCAGTGTTAGTCACTTTTCCGCACTTTTTTTTAATTTTTAACGTAATTTTTGGGTGATTTCACATTGATTAAAAAAATCGTCGATTTTTAAGCCACGTCCAAAGTTTCTTAATATTTCTTTTGTTAAAAAAGAGCGTTCTTAAATTTTATTTTACAACTTTTTAAACGTTATGACGTGATTTTAATCTATTTGTAGAGTTTCTGAAGATGGCCAAGGGCCGAAACTAATTAGAGTTAAATTCTATATAAAAAGAAACTAGTTGAAAAGTACAAAATCAAACTCCAGATAATTTTCTTCAAAAATTTTTACACGAAACATTATTTTGACTCTAGTATTTGATTAAATTTATGCCATGACTTACAGAAACACCCTGTATAATCGTAAAACGACTGACCAAGCGGATTCTGTGCACCAAACAATTTTCAATAGTTTGAGCCTGTCTATACTGAGAAGTCATATTTTTAAAGAGATGAAAACGAAAATTCCGTTTTTCTCAACTTTGTTCATTTGTCGCTTAGTCAAGTGATTCATAACGTGGTCCAATTATGGGATACATTATTTATGGGGTTATTATAGTAATTATGTGTTACCAAAGCCAAACCCTAGTCTAAAATAGAAAAAGAAGGAGCTATGGAATTTTACAAAACCAAAAATCTTATAATTGATTTTGCCACAAATGAATAAATTGTCTCATCGTTTTTCCCCCTAACCTTTTTTTTATAAATGATGATTCTATTGACTAAATATGAATTCGTATGCTTTTTGTATTACCTTCAGTTAATCTTTCAGGGTCCAAATTCCTTATAATCGCTGCAAATCCTTCGTAATTTTCTTCTTTTCTTGCCGATAACCAAGCCTGAATAAAACTGTATGGCATATGGATTTCTTCTTGTAGTATTTGTTGGTTATTTTCATTACAAGGTTCACCTCCACCTTTCAAATCTTCAGTTATCTGATTTAATTCGTTATAATTTTTTATATTTTCTTGGTTATTTTCTTCATGTATATTATTATTTTGTTTTTTATCTTCCTTTTTAATAATTTCGTGATTCTCCTCATTTAATTCAATCATTTTTCCTCTCACGACTTGATTAAATTCTTTTACATCAATTTTTTCAACCTTTTCTGATGCTATTTCCGAAACAGTTTTACCTTTTTCATTTAAAACTACATTTTCTTCAATTTCAATAATTTTTTTCTTCACTAATTCATTGTTTTTATCTTTGTTTTCATCGTTATTATTTTTTTCTATTATTTTTTCACCCCCAGAATTTATTTTATTGTTTAAATTATTATTTTTTTCAGTCGCACTTTTATTTATATATTTCGAAGCAATTTGTAAACGACCTTTTTTCCCTTCATCTTTTTTCTCATCACTTTTTTTCTCATCATTATTTTTCACATCATTTTTTTTCCCTTCATCTTTTTTCTCTTCATTTCCTTCTTTTTTATCACCCTGTTTAAATTCTTTACCACAATCAGTATCTTTCTTCTTATCATTTAAATCCTTCACATTTAAATTTTTCTTTTCCTCGTTTAAATCTCGATTCTCAACAATTACCTTCTCTTCAACATTCAAATTAAAACCAACGGTTTTCTTTATCTCCGGCGATTTTTTACGATCAACAACTTTAAAATAAGGCCCCGACATTCGACTAGACCCGGGAATCGGTACAATAACTTTTTCACTTTTCGATTCCTTTTTAAGAATCGGTTTAGTTCCGTTTTTTCTTTTTACCTTTTCATCGTCCTCAATAACATTTTTTTCTTCGCCTTCAACGTTCGATATTTTCATTCGAGTTTTCGAATTTGTTTCTTTCGTTACAAATTTACGAATATTTTCAGCTAATTTTTGAGCTTTAGCATTATTTGGATTTATAAAAATCGCATTTTCAATATAAACGTTAGCTTGGTGATAATTTTTTTGTTCATTATAACATTGTGCGAGACGAAATAAACATTCAAAATCATTTTCGTTAAATTTTAACGCTTCGTTGTAATCGTTGATCGCTTCTTTATATTTTTTAATACTTACATAAGCTGAAGCACGATTTTTTAATGTAACTGGATTACGGTGATAAGAAATACTCGTTGTGTAATGTTCGATTGAATTCTCTATTTCTTTTGCTTTAAAAAATTCGTTAGCTTTTTCGTTTTCTCTTTGTGCTTCGTAAAGCGTTTCAGCTTTTGTTAAAAACGGGTTAAATTTAACTTTATTCTTTTTCTCGCCTTTTTTCTTTTCGTTTTGTGACTTCTCCGCTTCAGCTTTCATTTTCTTTTCTTCCAAATCCATTTTTAATAATTCAGTGTCCGCATCGTATTTATCCCAAGCTTTATAATCGGTTGATTTTATACGATTTGATTCTTTTTTCTTATTATCTTCGAGTTTAATTTGTTTCGTTTGGCGTATTTCAGGAAAGCTTTTATTATTTGTGTTTCTTACCGATTCTAATTCATCGTTTTTCTTATTAATATCGTCCAACCATTTCGTTAGATCATCCGATATCTCTTCGTATTTATCCTTCAGGTCTTCTTTTTTTAAAACCTTCTCAACTTTTTTAAGATATCTACTATTCGGTTTAATTTCCATTAATTTTTCTTCCGTTTTCGCTAGTAATTGTGGATAATAACCTTCTTCGCCGCTTTCAAGAATTTGCACAATCTTTTCGAGCTCGTCGGCGCTTTTACACGTATTGACGTACTCAAAATCTAAATGGCTTAATGGGATATCGAATTTTTTTAATAAATTTGATCCCGTGCCGTGATACCTCGGTGCTGAATCCATAAAATTCCCCGCTTCTTCAAATTGTACCATTTTTATAACTTTCGGGAAATATTTTTTTAGCAATAAAATGTCTTTTGATTAAAAGTGACAAGTGTTATTTATTTTATTGATCAAACAATTTGAGTTGTTAGGGCAACTTGATCTGATTACTTTCTTTATGGACACCTATATTATTATTATTATTTATATCTTCTTTTATTAATTTCAGTTTAAATGGTACCCAATTAGTTTTCACCGAACTTTTCAACACAGTTCACTTAGCAGATACTTTAGAACATCTCCGAAAAACTTTACCCCGTTTTGGACATTCCCTTCTCTCCGATCGTAGTTCATTATGGATGTTTGGCGGTTACTCATTATCACACGGCCCTTTAAATGATATTCGCCTTTTCGATACGCGTAACAGCACTTGGGTTCAAGTAACGGTCGATTCGCCACCCGATGCAAAAATGCCGCATGGAAGATATTTTCACGCTGCCGATTTAGTCAATTCAAAACAGTCAATTTATATTTACGGTGGTATTTCGATGAATAAGCGTCGGAAAAGATTTTTTAACGTTAATAATCGCACGTTGAACGATTTGTGGCAATTTGATATTGAAAATAAACGTTGGGGTGAAGTTGAGAAACGCGGAGCGTGGCCGCCTGGGTTGTTGGGACATAGTTTGACTTATTATAAAAATGGAACTTTGGAAAGTTTAATTTTGATCGGTGGGGTTTCGCCGCAATTTGGATTTTCGAGTGATGTTTGGGAGTTTAAGCTGGATAAGGAGGTTTGGGTGAAATGGGATGATGTGAAAGGAATGGGGCCGTGGGGAATTTTCGGTCATACAACTGTGTTTAATTCTCAACTTAATTTTTTGTACATTTTTGGGGGTTACGAATATCATCGGAAACAATTAATGGTTACGAATAATTTGTATGTACTTAATTATAGTACTCGGACTTGGATTAATTTGTTTGGATATAGCATGGAAAATAATTTACCTAATCCGAGATTTTTACACTCGGCTGTAACAACAGAAAATTACATGTTTATTTATGGTGGAAAATCGATTTCCGGCGATCAAAAATTCTTTGCTTATTCTTACAATTGCAACCAATGGATTAACTTAATGTCCTCGTCAATATCAAAAATTGGCGATTTACCAATCCAAACTTACGCTCAAGCAATGACTATCGAATTAGATCGAAATTTGGCATACATAATTGGGGGTTGGGGTACAGACACCGAATCTACAGTAACCCAAATCACTTTACCATCCGATTTTTGTTCGTTATGGTCAAATAAATCTTGCATTTACATTCCTGATTGTAAATATTGCGCGTTGAAAAACGACACTAGCATTTTATCGGAAAGCTGTTATTGGAAATCGAAACAATGCCCCTTTGGAAATTATGTAAACATAACAAAAATTGAAAATAGCGGTAGAAATTGTTCTGGACCTTTAACAGATTGTGAATCATTAAAAGATTGCGGCGCGTGCTTAACGCTACAAAATTGTCAATGGTGTAATAATAATTGTACAGATAAAACAACGTCTTCGTGTTCAGGACATAAAACAACATCACCTGATGAATGTCCTTCAGAAACTTGTCGCGCGGCAAATTGCATACAATGTTATCAATTAGAAAATTGCGACTGGATTAACTCACAATGTACTCAAACTCTAAAATCATCAAAATTAACCGTTGCATCTTGTCCTCAACCATGCTCCGATTACAAAACATGTTCTGATTGCTTGGATAATCGTGAAGGTGATTGTCGATGGTCAACTCAATTAGACGAATGCATTTCATCAACATACCAACCAATTTATTGTGCTGGAGGAGTTTGCGGATTAGTTCTCGAAAAAAAAGATGATCATAAATGTCCAGAAAAATGTCCTAGTTTTCGACAATGTTCCGCGTGTCTCACTCACAGTCATTGTGGATGGTGTGCTGCGCCCGGAATTATGGGGGAAGGAGTTTGCGTCGATAGCAATAAAAAATCATGCGAAACTATTTTTGATGATGATTCATTAAAAACGTTTAACTTAGATCGAAACATAACGTATTCATGGCATTATGTGCGATGTCCAAAAGAAGATGAATGTAAAAGTGGTCATCATAGTTGTAATAACATCTCGGAGATTTGTTATGATAAAGAAAAAGGATTCGATTGTCGATGTGGAATTGGTTATAATTTGAGTTCGAGTGGAGAATGTGTTCCTCTTTGTTCACAAGGTAATAATATATTTTAATATTAATTAATTATATCTTAATTATTTTTTATGAATATATAGGTTGCGTTTGGGGAAAATGCGTGGAACCTGATAAATGCGTTTGCAATTTTGGCATCGTTGGCTCAAATTGTAGCATACCATGTCAATGTAATGGTCACGCTAATTGTGAAGGACCAGATAAATTGGATAAATGTCTGGATTGTTACAACAATACCATGGTAAATATCAAACATTTTTGTGAATTCGTGCTATAATTAAAATATGATGGTCGCATTGGGCGCGTTCATCAATGTTTGTCAATAATTATTAATCAATAGAAATAGGCTGTTCACCCAAGCTAAAATCTAGAGCTAACACTGGGCTTAGAACTGGAAACATTCGGGTTGGGTTGGGTTTCTTAATTCAATTTATTGAAAAAGTGTTATAATGGTAATTCTTTTAAAATGATTTTTCGGTAAGAGTATAATAAAGTAATTATATAATTAGATTATAATTGACATTATTACAGCTTTGTTTCAGCTAACGTTATAACTGGTTGGAAGCTCGTCAGATGCAATCTCACATGTCATATGATGCAGTGATATTCAAATGTGGCGGCATTACTTGACAGGCGTAATTGCCATAGGTAATTGCATCTGAGGAATTCCCAACCAGACGGAACGTTAATTGGAGCCACGTAGTGGCTACAAACGCTTTCCAAACAGTTATTTTGTGGTTGGAGCTTTTATATACAGGTGAATCAGAATATGAAAAGACTAAAATATGACGATTTAACGATTTGACGTCGGTGGCTTTTAATACACAGGTGTTGAAAGTTAAATTTTTATTTCGAAATTTCCTGATAATTTTGAAGGTTTTTAAAAAAAACATCATCAAAAACGTCATGACTTGATATCTCAAACGTACAGTGTATATCTAGCGCCCTGTACGAGTAATCACAAAACAAATATCAAATTCGTATTTCTCATACTCGAAAACATCGAACTACCAAATTTTATGTTTTTTTTAAAAAACCTTCAAAATTATCAAGAAATTTCGAAATAAGAATTTAACTTTCAACACCCTATGCCTCGAAAACCAGTGACATTTGTATAAGAAATGTTACGTTAAATCATCATATTTTGGTGTCTAGTATCTCCGGTATTCGGATTTCCCATTCTTTCTGACCCACCTGTATAAACCCAATCCAACCTGTATTCTAGTGGTTCGGTTCTTAGCTGAATAATTCCAAAATATCCCCAACAGATGGCGCCACATGTATTCAATTTTTAGTACGAAATTTTTGTTTAGAAAGTTTAAGCATAATTAACCTGAGCACTAAGCATAATTAACCTGAGTGAATAATAGCTCATTATATGTGAGTAGAATACTATACTTTGTCCATAACTACTATTGAAATTGATTAAATGAATTTTTGAATAAAGTTTAAATGTCAATGGGACAGAAATTTAATGTCACCAACCATAACCAACTTCACAACAATTTGTCAAAATTAAATGTCAATTTTATGAAACGTTTGTCATGATGAAATGTCAATCATACAAAAAAGGAATTTCTTTACTTTTTTTAATGCCAAACGTTTAGAAAGACCTAAAAAAATTAAATTAAATTGACGTTTTTTGAAATTTTGGCGTTTCAAATAATTATTAGTCTGTCAAGTTGATTATCCATGAATAGTGATTATTTACCGTTATTATTCACTCTGTAAAAAATGATTATCCTTTAAACCTCATTTATTTAAATACATTTTTGAATAAAGTTAAACGTCAATGTGATACAAATTCAATGTTACCAACTGTAACCAATTTCACAACAATTTGTCAAAATTAAATGTCAATTTTATGAAACAATGTTTTTTTACGAAAATTAATTAATTTGTGCTTAAATCATACGAAAAAAGGAATTTGTTTACGTTTTGTTTTAATGTGAAACCTTTACCCATTTTGAGAGACGTAAGGCTAAACCCGTATGTTTCTAGTTCTAGGTCTAGCGTTAGTTCTAGTATTGCATTAACACTATCTCTAGAACTAACACAAGACCTAGAACTAGAATCATTCGGGTTTAGCCGTCTTGAGAGATGTGCGGCTAAACCCGAATGTTTCTAGTTCTAGGTCTAGTGTTAGTTCAATAAAAATATACAATAACCTAGCACTGAACCACAATTAAAACCAGAACTAATGCTTAAACGTTAATGTGACACAAATTCAATGTTGCCAACTGTAACCAACTTCACAACAATTTGTCAAAATTAAATGTCAATTTTATGAAACAACNGCTAAAGTGAAATTTACTTTAGCGCCATAACGCTGAAGTACTTTTTTGCTATGTTGATCTTACCAACCGTCGTTATGCAACAATGACTTACTTCTACCGCGAGTAAACACGACAACAAAGTTGTCATTTAATGACGTTTGAAGAAAAATTAAATTAAAGTGACGTTTTTTGAAATTTTGGCGTTTCAAATAATTATTAGACTGTCAAGTTGATTACCCATGAATAGTGATTATTCACCGTTACTATTCACTCTGTAAAAAATGACTATCCTTTAAAACCCATTTATTTATAATAAATTTTTGAATAAAGTTAAACGTCAGTGTAATACAAATTCAATGTTACCAACTGTAACCAATTTCACAACAATTTGTCAAAATTAAATGTCAATTTAATGAAACAATGTTTTTTTATTAAAATTAATTAATTTGTGCTTAAATCATACGAAAAAAGGAATTTGTTTACGTTTTGTTTTAATGTGAAACCTTTAGCCGTCTTGAGAGACGTGCGGCTAAACCCGTATGTTTCTAGTTCTAGCGTTAATTCTAGTATTGCACTAACACTATCTCTAGGTCTAGTGTTAGTTCAATAAAAATATACAATAACCTAGCACTGAACCACAATTAAAACTAGAACTAATGCTTAAACGTTAATGTGACACAAATTCAATGTTGCCAACTGTAACCAACTTCACAACAATTTGTCAAAATTAAATGTCAATTTTATGAAACAATGTTTTTTTCGAAAATTAATTAATTTATGCTTAAATCATTCGAAAAAAGGAATTTGTTTAGGTTTTTTTTAATGTCAAACCTTTAGAAAGTCCTAAAAAATGGATTAAATTGACGTTTTTTGAAATTTTGACGTTTCAAATAATTATTATTAGTCTGTCAAGTTAATGATTATTATTCACCGCTATTATGGTGACTACCCTTTTGTTTTAGAAAACTCATTCATAAGTAGGGCCCGGAACTTTTGTAACGGTACGATACGATTTACCCCCTCCACTTGTTCTCCTAGAAAATGATCGGTTGTTATTGACGACCGACGATCGGTTTTTTATTGCGCATCAATGTCAACATTGTCAACTGTCAGTACGATTTCACTGTTGTCCAAATGTGCAGTATTCGACGCTTTTCATCCGCATAATTTCGTCAAATTTGCTATTTATCTTTCTTTAGTTACCTTTAATTGGAAGTTGGAGTTCTGTTTGAGTTCGTATTATTGTTTTTTTTAAGAATTGTTTTTAGTTTCCCTTTGTGGTAAAATTGTTGTTCGGATTTGAGAATTGTTCAACAAATTGCCGAAAACAATATACCTTTAACTCTTAAGGAAAAATATGGTTCAATAGCTCAGTATTTTATTTATGCTCTATTTACAAGTTGTGATGTTGAAAGATTATTTTCTAGGTACAAACTCATTTTAACGTCAACTAGAACGTCATTTACAGAAGAAAATTTAGGGATGGTTGTTTCAATATGCGTTAACAGCAATTTTTTTATATCCGTATCCGATTTGTGATTGATATTACAAATCGGATCATGTTTTTTTGAATTAAAGTTATAAAATATATTTTTTTTTAATATTTTCAAATCGTACTGACAGTTGACACTGACGTGTAATAAACCGATTGTCGGTCGTCAACAACAACCGATGAGGTGAGTTGACTTGACGCCACCGACTTGTTTTCTAGGAGAACAAGTGGTGGGGGTAAATCGTATCGTTCCGTTACAAAAGTTCCGTGCCCTAGT